TAGCCTATCTGCTTTTGTGATTTCTTAACAGGTATCTCAGAAGATATGATGGTATACAGCAGTTTCTGAACCTTTCCTGACTTACAGCCCAGTAGAGCAGCAGTGGGGTTCCCTATATGTCTCACATTATACGGTATGAATAAATATAAATTGTACTCTATTATGTGCTAATAAAATAAAACAAATTTCACAATCATATTAAACATTATGCAGGAACCGGGACAGCTCAGTCAGTATAATGACCAGCTACAAGCGGGACGAACAGGGTTCGATCCCCGACAGAGACACGATTTTTCCTCTATCCTCCATGTCCAGACCGACTCTGGGGCCCATCCAGCCTCCTATCCAATGGGTACCGGGGTCCCTTCCCAGGGGTAATGAAAGGCCGAGGTGTGAAGCTGACCACTCACCCCTATCTAGTGCTGAGGTAAAGAATGGGTATGAGCTATACCTCCTCTCCCTCCAAGCGGCCTATGTGGCATGTAGTGGGCCTTTTTTACATTTTCTAAACATTAGGCGAGTCTAATGCAAAGGTTAAGAAGTCATCAGTCTTTACCACTATTCCATGATGCTATAATACAGAACTCAGAACATAGTGTTGAATGTTGTGCTCCAGTCCCCCACCCTTCACCCTTTAAGTTACAGAGTACTCACTTGGCCGTACAAGCTTCTTCTTTCCTGAGTGGTTAGAATGCCATCCCTGCAGCCAACTGACCAATTTCTTCACATTGCTGCGGTCACCTTGCTGACCTATGATCTGCTTGGTAGACAAAGGCTTATACTTATCAGCCCAGAGAGAATGCTGATGAAAGGTGCTGTCCCCAGATTCTGCAGGTGATGGAATACTCCATTTTTCTGGAATTTTAAAGAAGCAAACTGATATTTAAGCAACAAACTACAGAATAAAAACAATGAACACCTTTACTGCCTCACACCTTGCTTGTCTAGCAGTTACATAAGGAAACAATACTGTCAGAAATGATAACATGATAGTTACTTTAAACTAGTAAAGAAATTAACATAAAAACAGATGCAGACAGCCATAAAACAGACAAAGTCATCCAACAGGTATTTCACTTATGAATCCTATCTCAATAGATGTAATTTGTCATGAACAGAATAATAAATACATCTGTAGCATTGGGAGGTGCATTCAAACCAACCACTGCATCTTCACAGATCAAAATCTGGTATGTAATTACATACAAAAATTTTGAAATTTACTGTGCAGTTACTTATGAAATAATAAATTAACTATTAACTGTACTTGAATCAATATTTTTCTTTGTTGCCTTTTTTCAATAGCAGGCATTACTTGAAATAAATACTGTGAGTGCCTAGTTCAAGTACAACAGTATATGAATATCTACAGTAAAATAATAGCTATACTGTAATTCATTTTGATTTTAAACAACAAATCAACATTATATTCAAAACAGAATTAGTAAAATACAGGAAAGACTTCAGCTCAAAACTTGGCTTCCCATTCTGGCATTATAAATTACACTTGTGCTTTGCAATGCTGATGGCGCAGGATAGTTCAGTCAGACATTTCAAGTGCAGGTACATAACTACAGATCAACACTGTATCATATTCATATCTAATGCTAAATTATAACTCAAAATAGCAAACATGACACTCCTGCTGTCTATCTTTAAAACCTACTTATAATGGTATTCCAAGTATCCTACCATATTTGTTTAATAGAGGCAGGTACATACCCCATCTATATATGATTCAAATCACAATTATCCTGTAGCTCATCAAAATATGTTGTCAATGGTCAGTCTTAGTCTTTTCTCATTTGTTACAGAAATATTCCTTCTCAATTAAATTCCAGGAAGCACAGAAAGAAACAAAATCAAATGAAAAAACAGAACATACAGAAGCAGGCAGTCCGCTCGAATACTGACCATTAAATCCATCTTTTTTATTCTTGCTTCCACACTGAGAAATTTCTAATTATTAAGATAATTACTTTTTATTTTACATTCTTATAAGCAAAGACATATTCCAATAAAGACAGTTTCTATTTTTGGCAGATTTCACTGTACTCAGCTGGCTTTTGCAAGATAGGGAGTACTGACAATATAGTATTGTATAGTAATTACCAGGCATTGATGTTTTTCCTTTCTTAATAGTCTGCAATGGCTTTATACCCAATTCACATGTACTATCATTTGAGCACAATTTACCATTTCTTTTAATCTCATCATCCTTATCAATATGTTTCTTCAACTTTTTTCTCAGCATTTCTGAACTGTCTGGTGGTCCTGATTTTGTTCGAATCAGATCAAACAGCCCATCCTCAGTTAGCTGCGTTGTGTTTAATTTTATTGCCTATAAACAAGAAAGTATATATTTACAGCACTTGCCTTGGAATTTTTGATGTGTCCTCATAACCCCACATCCTCACCCATGCAATTTCAACAGTACTGAAGCTTCAGAAACTACAATTACTGCATATTTTGGTAACCACAAAATGTTCTAACACTTATTTTTTCTGTGTTTATATTCATGAACAAAAGGAATCTGTATTATTCATGAAAACAGCTAGTGGCCAGCTACACCTGAGAACTTCTCCTCTATCAGACAAAGATATGTGAAACAGAATATGGTACCTTCTCTATTTTTGCTGGCCCAGGTTCATCTCCCACTACAAGGTAGCTAGTGTTGCGGCTGACACTGGAAGTCACACGACCACCACACTGTTTAACGAGAGCAGTCACCTGTTCCCGATCTATTGTCTCCAACACTCCGCTCACAACAAACACCAGTCCCGACAAGCAACCTGGTTTTCCCTGCGGAAATAAAACACGAAACAATAGTTGAACTTGTATTGTTGCATCAACTGCACTTGTTATGTCGGTAAGGGTACAACAAATAGGTTAGTACAGTAACTTCAGGAACCACCCGGAACAAATACTGGTCCAAATTTCAGCTATACATACTGAGGTTTCTCAATATCTCCAGACAAATACTAGGATGGGCCACAACTGTCTCCTTCCAAATCCTTACCTGCTCCAGCTCCCCTGCAGTTTAAACACATCAGTCAGTCAGTCATGAAAGACTTGGTTCTGGCTGGTGCAGAGATGCAAGCATTACAATTGAAGTAGTGTCTACAACACTGCATATCAAAGTATGAACTTAATGTAGTACCTGTGGTACTGCCTTCCCCCCTGGATTTTTTGGGCCCTCTCGTTGTAGATATCTTTGGTACTGTGCTGCGTGTTGTTTCTTCCTCTCAAATACATCATCACTGGAGCTACTATCAGCAGGCAGCAAACTTCTGACATCTTCCTGCTTATTATTACCTTCATTTCTCACATGCTGGTTTACATCTATACATTTTTTATTTTTCTTGGGCAAATCTGAAGAAGTTCTAGCCTGGGAACTCAATCTGGTAGCTTCTTTCTCCTTGTTTTCCTTCTTGTCATTTAATAATTCTTTATCATTTTTACTCTGTCTCTCTTCTGTAACATTTCTGGGCATATTATACAATACAACAACACTTTCACTTAATTCTGAAGTATGCAGTCCATCTTTCTCTTTTTCTTTCTTATGAGCTTTTTCCTTTTCCTTTTTACACACAAGTTTCTGTTCATTCAGTTCCTGTAATGTTGCTTCAAAATCCGAATTTGCATGCTGATTCTCCAATTTGGGCTTAACATCTTCCATGACCTGCAAATAAACAGAACAGTAAGACATACCACGATTATTCAGATGAAGTATGGAAATGAATCAGAAAATCTGTTACTTGATACGGACACAGAAATACAACAGCTTCAACAAGGAAAAGCATACAAATACTTACGAATTGAGGAAGAAGATGGCATACAACATCAACAAATGAAAGATAAACTGAAGAAGGAAAATAATGGAAGATTAAGGATGATACTGAAATCTGAATTGAATGCCAGAAACAAAATCACTACCATAAATGCATTAGCACTTCCAGCACTGAGGTATGGTTTTGGAATAATTTTCTGGAGACTGGAAGAACTGCAGAAAATTAACAGAAAAACTAGGAAAACATTGACAATATATGGGATGCATCAACTAAAAGCAGACACGGATAGAATTTACGTAAAGAGAAAAAAATGGGGAAGAGGACTGGCACAAATTGAAGCAGCATACAAAAGTGAAATAGTCAATATTGCAGAGTATTTGCATATAAAGCATCAAAAGGATCCATATATAAATATTATAAAATCAAATGATAATTCCCAAGCAATAATGAATTCAATAACTACAACAGCATCAAAAATCAAAGAAGAACTAAATTATAAAGATGAAATCAATAACACAGATAGAGGAAAACAACGCATTAAGTCATTGATTCAAGAAAGTAAACAGAAAAACTGGGAGAACAAAATAATGCATGGGCAGTATCTCCGAAGTTTAGACAGACAACTTACAAGTAAGAAGACACATTTTTATGGTTAACAAAAGGAGATCTGAAAGGGGGGGAAAAGGTCAAATTATAGGAGCACATGACCAGGCGCTAAACGCTAAATATTATTCTGCCAAAATATTAAAAAAAAATACAGACAGCAAATGTAGATTATGTCAGCAAAGTGAGGAAATGACAGATCACATTGTGTCTGGATGCCCAGTGCTAGTAAAATAGCAATATATACAATGACATGATCGTGTCTGTCCTCAGTTACATTTTAACATAGGCAGGAAAGTAGGGGTAAAATTAAAGATGCATTTGTATGAATACATCCCAAAGGCAGTAGAGCCAAGTCAGGATAACCAAATAACTATTTTGTGGAATCAACAAGTCAGAACAGACAGAACTATTCCAAATAACAAACCAGATATTATAATCCAAAACAAAAATGGAACTTGCCTCTTAATTGATATAGCAATACCAACTGACAGGAATGTAATTAAGAAGGAATCGGAGAAGATCTTGAAATACAAGGACCTTCTCATTGAAATATAGCGAATGTGGAAAGTAAAAGCAAAAGTAATTCCAATAATTATAGGAGCAAGTGGAATGGTCTCCTAGTAACTCAAAAAATATTTGGTCAATATCCTGGGTGAACACGAATTTAGGGAACTTCAGAAAACCACCATTCTAGGAACAAAATACATCATTCAAAAGACACTGACAGAAAATATACAGTAATACCTCACAATAAATCTATATAACACATGTAACACAAATAAAAAACAAAATGTATTTCAGAAACAGCTGCTCACCATCTACCCCAGGTGCAAGGTTTGTCTCAGGTACATAAAAATACCCCGTAAAATGGTAAATAAATGGAATAATAATAATTATAACAACAGCAACGATTCCTGAGATCAGTTATAAGAATTTTCCCAATAACATTTAATATAGACCCAACAAAAAAGTTTTGGTGAAATCCATTTACTAGTTTTGCATGAAAGCAATCCATCAATTTTGCATATTTAGGAAGAATTTATGGAGATACTTTTAAGAACAGAAGTCAAAACTACTGAGTCATTCGAATTTGCTTAAACTGTGTGTTACAATACATATTATATGAATCCACGAAACACTTGTACTAGAAAAACAACCCTTTACCTTACCTTGTTTTTTTCTGCACATTTCCTAGATAAAGTTCTTTTAACCTGACTGTAACCAAACACATCTCCTACATCCACAGGTTTCAATTCAGACTTGCATGAATACTTATCATTCTTTTCCTTTCCATTTCTGGCACAACTACCTGCAATAAATTAATCTGTCAGTCAGACTACAACGCAAGATTCAGTGTCATTAAAGAAAACTTGTGCTTAAGCACTGGGACACTCATGCACACAAATGGGGGGAGTTACAGTACAGCTCCATGCAATCTTAACGTCAGCACTAAACAGGAGGTAAATGGTCAGCTTCATGCCTCAGCCACTTTTATCCTTGAAGAAAGAACCCCAATACTAACAATACAGGAGGCTAGGTGGGCCCCAGAGCCTGTTTGGTTGTTGTGATGAGAAAAAATCTGCCTTGCCAAAATAATTGAGAAATTTCAATTTTACTACAGAAAAAGAACATGGAGAATGTGAGAAATCTCTCAGAACACAACATGGTAACATCAGAAATAGAATATTTTAAAAGTAACCACCAGTAATACCTCAAACTAAAGCCCTTCTTGAGAAACTAACATTCACACAGCTGATCAATGAATTACTTTTATTGATCTGAAAGATTAATTAAATTGTTCACAAGAGCCCATCACTGCACCCCATCCTGAACCAGTTGATTTAAGTTCACACCCTAACACACTCCTCTCTAAGATTATATTACCCTCCCACATACAACAGGTCACCTCTGATAATTTTTGGTTAAGAGTACAATTTATGAAGCTCCTCTTTAGGCAATTTATTGCAGCCTCCAGTTACTTCCTCACAATGGATTTCAACACAATACTTATGAGATATTTACCTTTGTCAGATGTTCAACAAAACATGGTAATACAGTGGGAAAGTAATCAGCTCACAAATAATGGAATTCACTCTGGTTTTATATTCATTGTTCTTCAGACAATATTTAGTCACCTGGAATGGAGGATAACCCTGCCAAATGCATATAGACTTTAGGAAACCCCACACATCAGAGATGATCACAGCACAAGATTCTCACTAAATCTGGTAAAACCACAAAACAATTTAGGTTAATTAAAGTAGGTTTAAAAAATATATATTGAGAAACATACAGTCACCATTTGTCTATGTTTTTCCAGTTCAGATTGGTATTGGTATTGGCATTTTAATTCACTCTTAGAATATGCATTAGAAAGATCCAAACAAACTGGAATGGTTTGCAACTAAATAGGACATATTTCTTTCTGTCTATGCTGATATTAATTTACCGGGAAAAATTGTTTTAAAAAAAGTCAATAGACAAATAGTATGTTCTGTATACAAGCAACCACAGAGAAAATTAGACATGTTCATTGTTCACATCTCATCACCAGACTGCAAGGCAAAACCATCATATTATATAACGAAAGCAGATTCCTTTGAATATGTGGCAAAGTTAAAATATTTGGAAAGAACAGTAACAAGTCAAAGTTAAAATCTCAACAATTCAGAATCTTCTATCTGAAAACATAAAAATTAGAATAAGATATGTATGTCTTTAATTCCACCCACTGTTTTGTATGGATGTGAAACCTGATCTCTCATATTAAGGGAAGAACACTGACTGAAGGTGTCTGGGAACAGGATGCTGAAAACAATATTTGGACCTAAGAGATAGGAAGCAATGTGAGACTGAGACAAATGCATAACAATAAGTCAAAACTTGTCTCTTCAACAAATATTGTTAGGATTATCAAATGAATGAGGGTGTATGATGTATGGGAGACAAGAAACAGTTTTGGTCAAAAAAGCTAAAGGCGAAAGATCACTTTGAAGACCTAGGCATGGATGTGAGGAGAGTATTAAAATGGATCTTTAAGGTACAGGGTAGGAGCAGATGGATTGGATTAATGTGTATCACACTAGGGATCAGTGCAGGCTCTTGCGAACACAATACCTTTGGGTTCATGAAATATAATAGATATTTTGACTAACTGAGCAACTATTACTTTCTCAAGAATGACTCTGCTCCATGGAATTAAATCAAAAGGCTAAGTGTAAATTGCAGATTTAGAAACTCCCTCATTTTGCAACTGTCTCCGTCCTCCTACTACTTCATCTTTGATTTAACTATTATCAGCAGTTTGTTTAGATTAGATTAGATGCATTCCAAGAATCCTAAATAATCAGGATCTGGAACATGCCAGTGTACAAATAAACACAATATGCTATTCATGCTTAACAATGTAAGTTATCATACACAACAAACATAAATGCTTAAAATGCAATACCTATAAAGAAATATCAAATACAATAAAATAAAATAAAACAGAAAAGGCCACTAAAGCTACATGATACACTTAATTCTAACATAAAAGACAGGAACCCATAATTAACTGGCAATAAATTTTAAAATTATAAACACAATTAACAATCTCTTACAAACTATGTAAGAGAAATTCATCACAGCACAGGAAATATGTGCTAAACAGAATTTGTGAAATGCTAACTGAAACATGTCTTCTACTCGCTGATATTATGCACCTTTTTTGGCACAGCCCATGATCAGCAAATAGCCAGTGCATATAATGGTTGTGCCTAATACCGACTTTATAAAGCTCTGAGTTTGACTGGAAAATTTCAAAGTGATCTACCACAAATGTCTTCTCCTTCTTTACTTCAGGGATTAGGCTAAAGCCTGTTCTAACTTCACTCATTCCACCCTTTCCACAGTCTTCCTTGGTCAAGCATCCTTTAGGTTTGTATTTTAAAATTTGTTTTGATATCCTTTCATCTGGCATTGTGCCTAAGTGATCCATCCATTTTGCACAAATGTCATGACAGCAAATACATAATCAGAAGAAAGATGCAACATGAAAAATCTGTTAAACCTCTAAACAACTCATGTCTTTTAGCACCTGCCTTAATTCTAATCAGTTTCAAGAACTGTTCACTGAATTACCCAGGATGTAACATACAAAATGACCAAGTCAATGTATATGAGTATACTGACTTCAATAGTTCCATACTAGTAAAAAGTAAAGGAATGCTTAAAGAGATCTCATTGCATCTGATCTATGTGACTTTCCAAATTTAATGGACTGCCAATTTGTAAACCAAGGAACTTTGTAGTTTTAGTTCCTGGGCATATCAGTTACAGTATATTCACATCCACTTATGGTTTGTTATTGGTGACAGATGTTAGAAAGTTTGGTTTGTCAAAATTTAAAATGAGTTTTTTTTGCTACAAATCCAACCAATTCCAAAGCACAATAACACTCACCTGAGAAATCACAATTTCCTTTATGATTTTTCACCTTCGTCGGCAAGAATTCCTCTTCGGAATCAGAATCGAGAACTTGCCTCTTACGTTTCACTTCTCGCTTATTTTTATCTTTCTTCCCATTTCCGGCAGTAGGTAAAAAATACGATCGTATATCCTACAGAGAATCAAATTTAGAATTCTGTTAAATTATTGAAACGTTAACCCAAGATTCCACACAGACCTTTATCGCGCTTCTCTGAAACCCGCTTATTGAAATTGGCATTTGGCTATACAGCTCCACAACTCTATTACCTAATTTACTACTGCATTGTTTGTCTTTTTCAATAATATACTTACGTGTGACATGCTGAGTATTTTACTTTAGAACAATATTCGTAATTAAACCTTTCCTAATGCACCTCACCACATACATTTTAGTTACAGGGCATGGTTCATGTGAAAAAATGCGAATAAACACTCATCACAGAACAAACGTTATGTTATTGCACACACCGTGCACATTTAGGTTGGTATTATCGTTTCAGGTTCTACCACACATAATACCAACATAAGGCCCTTACCCTGCCTGTACATCTCTGTGTTTTTGAGTGTCGTAATTTTCACAGTTCTGTAATTTTCTATCTGTGAATCCAACCATGTGATCGACTTCTCTGCCATTGATTTGTTGTAATGTTATCGATGATGATAAATCTATGTTAACATTACGACCATAATCCACCGGGGATGTGAATTAGCCGAAACATGTAGGGTTTTATGATATGAATAAATAATACGTATGGTTGTTAAATCAACTGGGTTCGTAACTGTAAAAGTATTTTTACATTTCGCAACATTCTGTTTGGCAAGCCCTACGTGTAGATGGGAGAATAATATTAAAATGGATCTCAAGGGTAGTTGATTGCATTCATCTGGTTCAGAAAAGAGACTAGTTATGGCACTTGTAAACACAGTATTGACCACAAGATTCCATAAAAGGCAGGATATTTCTCAACTACCTGAGTTGACCATTAGCTTCCCAATAAGGACTGCTCCATGAGTACAGATACAGGTGTGTCAAAAAAAAAAAGAGGGTAAAGGAGTAAACTATATTCATCTCAGGATAGGGGCCAGTGCCCACACTTTTGTGAACATCGTAATCAACCTATGGCTCCCATAAAATGCTGGAAATTTCTTGACTAGCTAACTAAACAGCTATCAAAATAGACTACTTTATGTCATTCTGCTTCAAAAACTGACTGATAGTAACATCAGTTGTGTTCTGACCTGTTATATTCTTTTTGTTTAAATATTTCAGAAAATGTTTATCTACCTAACAACTTTTTGAGATGAGCATAAATTTTTAAACTCATTGTGCTGTTTTCTTCATTCTCCTGTTATTTAATCATTCTCAGCTCCTGATATTCTCCTCAGCACCCTTAATCTGTTTTCTTCCCTTAACATGAGAGACCAGATTGTACTGAGACAAAATATCAGGTAAAGTTTTTGTTGTGTAAATTTTATTGGCTAGTTTTAAATAGGCAAAAAGGGAAAAGATTCCTAAAATTTAATCTCCTCTCAGCTTTTTTATTAACAGAATTTTGATGTTACTGTGACTCCCAAATACTTTCACTTCATCACATTATCAAAGGATTTATTAGCGGTTTTTATATTATGATTTTGTCGTACGTTCTTTCAATGAGGCATTAACATCTTTATATGCATTTACTTCTACACCAAACTCCTTACAAGTATCTAATTCAGTTTCTGTGCTTTTCCTTTAAGTTATATATCATTTCACTTAATAATTTATCATCATGAACCCTAAGATTGTGTCCCATTCATTTCCACCCCCTCATGATTAGTCCTTTCTAATGACATATTCTAAATCAATGATATAGCATCTCCTTGTTTCAGAATGATCTTGCTTGTTTGATGATTAGTGTACTGAATTCATGTCCCACTATTACTTATTTATAACGGATATGTACGATTGTATGATTTTAATATTAATATTTAATATTAATATTAATATTATAAGTTCTAATGCAGGACATCAATAAACACATGAAATTAATTTGTCATGGAAGGACAACATTTTAGAACATATGACTGTCTTAGAAATTGCATAACATTTACTTTGCAAGGAATGTAATACAGTAAAACTAGTCTAAAATGGTACCTATAGTAAATTAAAACCATTATTTATCACAAAATGCCTCATGTACCAAGAGCATGTGGTAAAGAATGAAGTAAGACTGCCTATAATAAATGTAAACTTTAAAATTAAAGCAAAGAAAGAAAAACAAGCATTTAACAGAAACTGGTGTGCCTGAATATTCATAGCTTTAAATTCAAATGCTATGTACTGCGATTCCTACCTGAGAAGGAACATGGGAAGAAATAAGATATAGCCATGAGAATACTGACTGAAAATGTATACTGTTCAGTAACAGTGCAGTCAACATTGTAGTTTGAATTTCTTGCTTGTGATTTTATCATAAATGGATATATACATGGGACATGTATGGTGCAGTATACTGTACTTTGTCTTGAAGTATGTATTTGGGTTTAATCAAAACATGTCCAAAACAGAGAAATGGGCTGGTTCCTTGCATTTCTGTAAAAGCAGATTTCACTGTATTGAAACAGAATACTGGCAACATACCCCTTTACATTTTTTAAACAAGCTTCATTTGCATGAGAATAATACATCACAAAAGCTCATTTTCAGAAACAAATTAAATGAGTGAAGCAAATTATTGGATACGCTGGATACAGTTCTTTGTATTGAAATGGATTAAATTGTACTGCAACTCTCTTACCTTCTTTTCTTTTTGAACAGACTGATTATGAAGTGATAATTCTCTTGGTTGAGCTGAAATACTGGACTAGACCATATGTAGTTGGACTTCATCCAACCATATAATATACAATTACAACTGAACTTGACATGATAAAACTGCATGTTGCAGTCCAACTCCTTGCTTTTGTGTCAGTTGTTAATTTGAACTAAGGCAATTTGAATTAAAACGCCTTTGTCTTCCATTAATCAAGAAGGATGCAGAAGTGTTACCCACTATATCTTCTTCATCTTCAAAGCTTAGACTATAGTCAAGCGTATTCTGCTTCCTCTGGTGTTTGGGTGAGCGACTAAGACGAGGAGAACGTGTAAGGCGAGGTGACCTTTTGTTCATCTGTTTCTCAACCCATTTCAACATCGTGAGTACGGCATCTGGTCCCTCAAGTCGAAAGTTGGCTGCTGTTCTCACTGTTGGTGATGAGTCCACTCTAAATGTGCAGGCAATCCCAGACAAGGCCTGCATGGCAGCCTCAGTGCCAGCATAGACAATCCTTACTCTCTCAGACCAGTCTGCTCCATACATGGTGCGCAGAATATGGATACATGCCCGGCCTTGGTCCCATTTCACTGGAGGCTTGGCTTCAATTGCCATGTGTGCTTCATGAGGCTCAAATCCAGCTTTTTGGAAAATTTCACACGCTTTCCGCACAATTTCATCCCTCTGCTGGGATGGTGTCTCACGATAATGGAATGTGAGAAGTACTCCTTTGTGTTCAACCCAAGCCCCACTGTGACCCACTTCCTTCTCCAGCAGTTGCACCAATTCTCTAAGTTTCTCAGCGTATTCAAATGGAACTGGATGAACAAATTTGGTTCCATCTGGATGAAGAATTTCAATTCCATGACTGCCTGCATATGTGAGTTGATCCAATCCCACCATCTTCTTCACATTCTCTAAGCTTCGACCTGAAATTATGGCAATGTTAACATCTGGCATGTTGGATAAACGCTCCAGGACACGCTTTGTTTCTTCTGGCATGATTGCCAAGTCTGGATGTGAGGTCAGAGGTGCCAAAGTGCCATCATAGTCCAGAATAAGGCTTAGTTTGCAAATTGTGTCTATGTGGTTGTTCAGGTATTGATCAAAATCATCAAGAGTCAATGGAGTCATCTTAGTTGACAGAGGATCAGCTTGATCTGAATTGTTGACAGCGCCCATACTAGCAAGAAATGAATTCATCCAGTGGTTGACATCCATCTGCTGCTCTCGGTGACGCAGTTGCTTCATTCGCACCTCCCGTTCATCCAGTGGCATGTTAAGGGCTCTGTGAATCGTGTCAGCAGCCTTGTCAATCTCATAGGGATTCACCACAAGAGCTTCATGCATCATGCCACCTGCACCAGCAAATGGTGACAATATGAGGACTCCAGGCTCCCTGATTTGGCATGCAACATATTCTTTTGCCACCAAGTTCATTCCATCCCTGAGTGGTGTGACCAGAGCAACTGCAGAGTCACGGTAGAAAGCAGCTAACTGTTCCTGGGTCACTCCACCATAGATGTAACGAATGGGAGACCAGTTCGGCATGGAGAAGCGGCCATTGATGCGTCCCACAAGTTGGTCCATCTCCTCTTTGAGTTGACGGTATTCTCGTACATCTGTGCGTGAGGGTACTGAGATCTGCAGCAGGGTCACCTTCTCCACGTGCTCTGGGTATTTTTCCAGTAGACGTTCAAATGCAAGAATTCTATGAACTAAACCTGCACAAAAAGAAAACAAAGAAACAAATGTTGTATGAACACTAAGAATTAGCCATGCATTACTTCGTCAACAAATCATTGTGAGATTTGAGGTTTTCATACAGTGATGATGATGATGTTCTTCCGGGTTTTGGCACCATGTGGACTGGTCTGCAGATTCCAACATTTCTCCATTGGAATCTACTCACCTGTCCACATGGCACCAAAATCTAGAAGAACATCATCAAATATGTTCATTGCACTGAGTGTGTAATAAGGAGTTAGTGTCTATCAGTGTTTTATGTCAAAATTATTGGAGTAAGATTAAAATTTTTTAGCACAAGTTTTAGTTTGCATCAGTCTAATACAACCTCTTACTCAACATGAATCTCAACAAAACTTTATGAAAGGCTTATCATACAAAACTTGTAGTTACCCTTCCTAAATCATAATTTAATATCACACTTTTTTCAGCAGTTTTAGTCTCATTCCCATTCTTTCATGAAGATGACACACATTCATTACATGTCCATATGGCATATAGTCATGTACAATTATAGTAATCTTTGTATCACCTGTAAATTTTTTGTGCAATGTTTCTATAGCCAGTTTTTATAGTTAATCTATCCTTACATCTTACAATATGATGACATCACCTCAACATCAATTAATGTCCCATTTTATTCTGCCCCAATTGCTAACAATATGACATGTGACCATGCACTTAAGCACCATATCAAGGAGATGTACAGAGGGTACAAAGAGACTTCATTTATTCTCAAAACAAGTAGAGCTGCTGCATGCTTCAGCTGCCTTGCCCCACTGCCCTCGGTGGGCTCCTTTCTACATGTGGTGGCAAAGAGAAAGGATTTAAACTCTCTTGGTATGTGTGTGGAAATAGAAGTGCGTCAGATTTTATTTTTGTTGGTATAAAATTCATTTTCAGTGGTCATAACCCAATACATGGTAAAATTAGAATATAGCTATATGTCAGACTGCAGAGGGGTCCCTTGGTGGAAATCAAACCTTAGCTGCCTTGTTTTTGTATTCACTTGCCTTTTGTGTAATCCAGTCTGTCAACACCAAGGATGATCTTCTCAGACTCTGCCAGTTTGAGGAAGCGAGGTGTGGTTTCAGCAAGCTGTACAAAGCGGTCAAAGGGAATGCCAATTGGAAGAGCCTTGATGTGAACAGTGCGGCCTGCCAATTCAACAAGCATATTGTTGCGGTCCACTCTGCAGCCAAGGCGCCGTGAGCAGCAGTCAATGAAGTTGAGGCAGTAGTCCTCAATATGGAAGCCCACCATGTCACAGGCTTTTATATCAAAGCATAACAGTGGAAGTTAAATAATGTTCCATTGCAGTAAAAGGAGGTTTAATCCAATAAAAAGACATATTTTGATGTGTCATAAGACAAGCTTTCATTAAAGAATGATATAAAGTAAAACAAAGGAAAGTGTCTTCCATTATTACAGTGATACCAACACCCTTTAAAGAACCTGTTTCCTAAGTTTCAGTCTATCCTTTCTCCCATGCAATTATGGACACAAATAAGTCATTACAAGTCAGCAACTGATTTTGCTTCTTGAACAGATTTTATCTTAGCTTAGTTTATTTAACAACAATGTTGTCAACTGAATAGAATGTTAATAGCAAAAATTTCACAATTATAGGACGATTTGAGCAGTGTAGTAGCTATACTCCGAGAAACTGTCGAAGAGATAGCAACCAGACTGGAGGCCAGCTGACTGACGTATTCATGATACTTGCCCAACATTCCTTGCAATATCTCATCATCCCATGGAAACAGCCTCATTATATCCCATGAAGGAAACGGAATGTGAAGAAAAAATGCCAGCTTGCACCTCAGTTTCTCCTCTTCAATCACCTGCAAAAAGATGGCACATTTCCAGAAAACTGCCAATAAAATAACTTCATGAACAGAATCATTCTTCAGACACTGATACTGCGCTCGGCCCTGTCAGATTTCCTGCTCTTTATGGAGTCCAAAGGTTCATTGCTGTGTTTACAAGAGCCCATCACTTGGTGTGTCTTAAGCCAGATGAATCCAACTGACCCCCTCCCAACCAACTTAAATAAGATCCATTTCAATATTATCTTCCCATCTACTCCTAGGCCTTCTGAGTGGTCTCATTCCTTCAGGCTTTCCAACCAAAATTTTATATGCATTTCCATGTGTACTATAATCTGCGAGCACATAACCATCTTTGATAATATTAACTCTAGGTTGGTAACCTTTCTTAAATTAATTTATGCCTCTGTATAAATCTCTAATATTTTTGTTTCTATAATTAGTTTCAAGTTCATTAATTTTGTTTTTCAGGTGTTCCCTTTTCTTCCTTTTAAATGTTCTACTGGTTTCACATATCAAATTTTTCAGATTATCTCCACTGATTTGGCTTGGATTTTGCAACCACTGTAATTTAGCCTGCTTCCGTTTGTCTATTAATTTTGAGCACTCAACATCAAACTATGGTTTACTATGCTTTAGTTAGTGATAGCCTAGATTCTCCTTGATTAAGGTCTTGATATTGTCCCTAATACTTGCCTGTGCGCTATTAATATCCAAACTGTCGTCTAAGTTCTCTAAAGCTGCAAATCTATTGGAGATTATATCTGGTACTTGGCCTAACTTCTTCATCACTGAGTTTCTTCACATCAAATCATTCTGAATCAAACTTTTGCCTTGCTTGTTTACTTGCTCAAAGTCTCTCCCTTACTTTTGTCACTACCAGATAATGGTCGGTATAACAGTCACAAAAATGGGTCCATAATTGAGAACCTCAGAATCATGAGAAGATCACAGATTGAGGGTGTTTGAGGACTGGGTGCTGAGGAGACTGTTTGGACCTAAGGTAGAGGAAGTAACAGTAGGGAGGAGAAAACTGTATAATGAGCTTTATAATGTGTACTGGGATACTGGGAACGACCCGTTCTTCAAGTGCCTGAGCACTGGGTCCCAAATTTTAGTTGACTTGATCTATAGACATTTGGTAGGACTCCTTGGACGAGGGATCGGCCCATCGCAAGGCCTCTACCTGTACACAGAAAGATGCAGACAAACATCCATGGCTTGAGTGGGATTCGAACCCACGGTCCCAGCGACCAAGCGGCACAAGGCCCACGCCTCAGACCGTGTGGCCACTGCGGACCCCATAATGTGTACACTTCACCTAATATTAAGCAGAGAGGATGAGGTGAGCAGGGCATCTAGCATGCACTATTAACCAGAAAACTGAAAGGAAAACACCACAAGTAGGCATACCTGTCGAATGGTGGTTGCTGCAACCAGCAGCTGGTAGTCGTGGATCCACACCACAGGGCATGTCTCAAACTTCTCCTGTTCATCCAGTTCCCTAAGTGAATTCCTCAGGGCTTGTAGTGTGCAGTTAGCAAATTCCCTGTTCACACTGCAATAAGCCTGTAAATAGTTAACAACACTCATCACTCACTTCTAAACATGAAATATTATGATCCCAAATACATTCTCCCTTTCCCAGTATGGAAGGGGCTGGTTTGTTACGCTGTCCACCTTAAAAAAATTTGAATAAATTGTCAGGTTTTCATGAAAATTGGTATGGAATAAACACAGTTTGAGGCTACTTCATTCTGAGGTGGGAGCAATACGAAATGCTGGCAACAGATCTGCAAATGTGCAAAGTATGTTTAGGTCACTTTTCTTTTCTAGTGACTGTGAGAATTTCATCTGTTTAATGAATATAACTATTAGGCCTATACCACACACGAAATTTTGTATGCAGATATGTAATTTACGTGGTCATAAATTTTGTGCATAACATTTTTTTAATCAGAAATTACAAATATAGTGATCATGCGATTTCATAATGCTACAATTATGTAGAGTTCTGCATTGGTTGAAATTTTAGAATTTCCCCAGGAGCAGTCCAAAGAACATTTGGCCTAAACTCAAACTTTATCTTCAAATATGTTACCAGTACCCCACCTAAGCCCAATTTCCTTTCATTCCATCCCAAATAAAGTCTAGTATACTTATAATCTGCCCTATCATATCATTAATACATTTTTTAATGCGTAAATACCAGTAATCTATGAATGAATTATTGAATGACCCTGTAAGAGCATCTAGTGTTACTATGGCATTTGAGGAACGGTACAAATATATCAGAAGCCAAGTCTTTATGATGTTACCTCAAACAATTTCTGGAATTGGCCAGCTACGAAAATACCCGAGAAAATCATGTCAGTGGTATTTATGTTCGAAGTCTGACTGTGTCACGAGCATGAGATTAGCGTATAAATACCATTTTCTTTTCAGAAACAGAATGGCCGAAATGTTCTGTATAACGTTTGATTACTATCATCTGAGTAACTTCTCGACCCGAACATTATCCGTGCTACTACGCCCAGACCCCTGCATACCTCTACAATTATGTATGCGTACTAGTGGATGTCATGCATAGAAATTGATAACTGATCTGTCAAATTATTCATTTACTATACAGTATCCACTTTCTTCAATGAATTGACGGAAAGCAGACCGCGCGGCTACGGCGCTGGACTTAAAGGAGAACAGACATCAAAAATTGTTTCAGGAGCTTCTAGTCATATGTAAATGGCGAAGCAGTTGTGTTGCCTGTACGTACATCCCATGTGTGCGCCTTAAAAACTGCGCGGTCGGGCATCGAATGGAAGAGTGGCCAGAAGGTGCCGTTGCAGCACCCATTGTAAAAATCGTCAAACTCTCTTTCCGGGATGTGAACCGCTACCACCTGGTACAGAAAACGTAAAATATTGGTGTGTACACTACATTATAAAGGAGCGCTATTTCTAGAGAACTTTTCGAAGGCAGAGGGGAAACTTGGTACATGGTCTGAAACAGGATTCTAATCTGATGCTACGTCGCTCTGAAGTCCTTGTATCCCTGTTCGTAAGTATTATGTCACGTATTCTTATCAGCAAACATTTTATGGACATAAGTGGCCAGCTTCACGCTATATTCGCTTTATCCAGACTGTAAGAAAATCACATGTTTTCTGTGTTCGAAGATGTTAGCGAAGTAGCCTACATTACTAACACTTTGGAAATAATTCTGTATGCTTAGTACTAAAGGGGTCCGTTTTGGTTTTCATAGTTGTGGAGAACAAAAGCAACGTATAATTCTGTCTTCAACGTACGTACAATAATTATAATATCAGAAAAAATGTTTTAAGTTAAAAACAACTGGTATCCATACCCCACCGACCAAAATAAGAGCAATCCAAACAATATTCAAATTAGACACTGGGTAGTAGTACTTCTTTTCGTCGGATTTCTATAAACATTATTCATTTCAAAGTCCACTGCCCATAAAATATCCTGATACGCAACAGCCATTCTGCCTTCACGCAATTTATGTAGTCTGTTCTAATCCTTTAAAACATAAATAACACTCACTAAATTCCGGTACCGTAAGTAGTGATCTCATTCGAACAAGAGACGCAGGAAGTCAGTTTACCTGTTTGGACAGAAGTCCAGCAGTCGGCGCTTTATCATCGGGATCTGACTCTGGAATAAATTCCAAGGGTTCCTTCGAGTGAAGTCCTGACCATCCAATCCAGAGCCCCCCGCAGTCTACCACGACAGGAGCCACAGCAGTGACCAAACCTCCGGCGCTACAACAATTACAGCAAATATATTTCTACAATACTGTGACCAATTATTGCTTGCGTCATGTTTTGATACTGTTACGCCATTTACCAAAAGGTATTCGCAGTGAAATTAACACAGGTATTTTGTCGTATTCGGTTATTCAACGAATTCATTGCCAGTTTGGTCTAGGAAGGAAGAACAAAAGCAGCATTTGCTAACAATTTGGAGGCATCTGACGTTACGTGTGTGAGTGCTTCACGCCTATGGTCACTGTGTTGTATAGATCGTTGTCATCATCGGTCGATTGGCCGTTGGAAGAAAGAATAACAAACAAACCTCGCTTTCCTCGAAATTACTCCGTCCTTATTCCTCTGCAGAACGAACGGCAGGCGGTTCGAAACCACGATCAGCGGGGCCGTGATCTGATGCTGCACCATGGCTTCGTGTTCTCTGCACAGAACCTACAAGCGGTCATGATGAGCTATTATACAATAAGGAAGAAAGCAACATTCACTACTTGGGTTTATAACTGTTACATTTCCCGGAGAGGTCATTTAGTTAAGAAAATTTCTCACGAAAACCCGTCACTCATACAGCATGCAAGAAACATATTGTTAGATTCTTGTGTTTTGTTACACGAAGGCATATTGTAGAAAGAAGAAAATGTAATATCGAAATCCGCTACATGATATTTCGATCATGTTTATTATTGACAGGGGGGCGAGGTCTGTGATTAAACTTGTTTGGAGAATACACTACAATACATTACCTACTACACATACAAATGGAACAAGACTCTCTCAAATACTTTATAAAATAAGAGTGCGTGTTACGTAAACGTTTCTTAAGTTGTCCTGTTATGTTTGCTGTACACTTTAGGAACTGGTGTAGTAATTACGATATCTGATTACTGTAATTTGCTACGTCGCATTATTTCTGAAGATGCAATCCAGTTTCTTGAACAAAACTCCGTAACAACTCAGTCGAATTATTTTCTCTAGTTGTGAGTAATGCTCACAATTTTTAATCACGTTTGAAAGTGTGACATTTTGCTATGACAGTTTTTTTATGTTTCATTCCACAAGCCGAAACCCACCTGTGTCTAGATGTGAAGAAACTGGTGATGTGGAAGCAGACAGACCAGCCACAACACTTTATATAGACACAACAGCACCAGGAACACACAGTTCTTCAAATTTATGTATTTCAAAGAAGAATGAGCAACATATGTTTTTCTTGTGATGTGTTTTGTACGCGCACATTAAAAAAAAATCATTCGGCTATCTTCGGAGTCGAACTTGGGGTCATGTGAACTAATGAACTGACCGCTTAGTCTTCACGCCAAACGCACGTGACAGGATAGTGAGAAGCAAATTATAAAAAAAAGATAAAACTTGATATATTATTAATAATTCAAGGAGATTCTGCTGAGAAGTTTCCTTGATCCTCGCACATTTCGGCAGTGTTCAAAATGATAACGAGAAGTCACTTGCAGATATGTTGCTCATATAACTTATAAGAACGATCGATTTACAAGTGAATCTTTACAGGATTCTTTTCTCCCCTCCACATTCCCTGGAAGCTGTCTGCTGCTCTCCAATAGGAAATTTATACGTCAGATTTATCTATCTCGACGTACAATAATCTACAGCTGAACCTGACGTTGTAGCATTTAGCACTCATGAGGTCTAGGGTTCGAAGCTTGTCCCAGAGACAGTGTCATAGTTTAAAAAAAACCATCCCTCAGGACATGTTGCTCGGGGGGCATATCCGTTGCTTTTCGTGTTATTCACATCTGTTTCCGAAAACCTGAATGCGAAAGTTTCACTTTTACGCGTGTGTCGCAACAGGTTCATGAAATATGTATCTGTCCCCGGATTCCTCACCGATAGTTGGCATCGGGCAAAAGCGCAAAATATTTATATTTGTCTTAAAATTAAGATCTAATTAAGATTTACAATATTTATTTAAAACATTTTCGATATAATAAACTACCAACGAACTAGACCGTAACATTAGCCAACATCTGACTCCAAATAAAATATTTAAATATTAAGTCGTACGGATGGTAATGAATCAAAGCAACAAAAATGTAAAAAAAAATATATAAATATCGATGAAGTAAAGGGCATCTTGTGACTTTTTCAGCGACTTTCCACACATCCTTGCACCGCCCTGCTCAAAGAACTGCGTCAGAATAAATGAACATCGCTCGGAGCACTTTGCTCTTCGAGTGACTTATCCACACTCTTCCTGGCCTATTCGTGCTGTCGACAGAATTGCGTCTTGGTCCAATAAACCACTGACTTCAGGCTTGGTGGCGGGCTTCTGTGAACGCGGTAATGGATATTCGGAATCTTTGCTGACCAGATGATAGATTACCAGCTTCTCAATACGGACTCAGGTCCATGGCATTTATTGTGAAATCACGGCGTACAGTAGCTCTGACAAGTCAACATTTCATCAAAACCCTTAAACTTGTACGGGTCGGAACACACGACTTCCCCGATTTACTTCGCGCAAGGAATACAGGCCAATGCAATAGGGAATGATTTTTAGTATCATATTTTTAAATCACGTGGTGTAGGCAAAATTAAGCGAAATAGGATATCGGTTGTCACCTGTGCAGTAGTTTATGATGTCAGGCAATCATTCCACCCAATTAATAGTATTTCTAACAAAACAACGACGAGTACTGACGTGTTTGTGGCGATACACTAATCCAATCAAAACATGGCTGTCTTCTGGGTTGTCGCGCCGTGTAGTCTCGTAGAAGTTCACCGACGTTTCAGAGGTCATTGCTTCCCTGATGATGGAGGCAGCAAGGACCTCTGAAACGTTGGTAACCTTCTACGAGACTACACAGCGCAACAACCCAGAAGACAGCCATCTTCAGACTCACCACCGTGAAAACCTCAAATCCTACATAAAGCCATTCAGGTACTGAGAGTCGAGAGAACTGCATTGTTGGTTTGCAACAAAGGACGGCGATTGAACATTATTCTCTACAGCCTCCACCTCCTTTTCATCCTTATTACAACGAGCGATGAGATCTTTGAACGGGGGATAAGACAATAGCATCGCAACCGAAGACCAATGTTCCCACAAACCACGCTTGTTTGTGCGAAGTGGACTGTCGAACTCTAACCCCTGTACGTCAATGGCTTCCGTTTCTTCTCTTTTCGGTCACTGCTGCGATACCGCGTTATGACGTGTTTCCTTTCTTCGACGAAATTCCTAAAGCCTCTGTCCGTGTTACAGTTTCAGGATTTACATATTATAATGCTCATGTGATGGCAGACCCTACTGAAGGAGCTCTAGTCTACCTCTACAGCAGGCTGAAAACTGTGCCCACTGAGCCCCGCACTGTAAAACTCAATTGTGAATTTGAAGTTTCAACTTATCGTCTGCCAGTACAGAGGATATTTCTGCTGCAAGACGTGTTCGTGTGTACTCCGATATCAGTACCACAGAAACAGCTGCGACATGTAAACAACGTCCTCTCCAGTACGAAGTACGAAGTTCAGCCGCCATTCCAATTCCCGATTTCAGCATCGCTAAGATCAGGCAGGCCATCTGCAAGAGAGGAAAACTGTGCTCCAGTCTGAGTGTCCCCAGTACAGCTCATCGTCAGATCGTTGACTTCTTTATAAGGACTCCATCCATCACCTCTAAGTTGTTAAAAGGTCTTAACCAATCACACGCACTCCGCTAGATAATGCAGACCGAGCTGTACTTGGCTGTTCTATTTACTAGACGGCCACGCGATCATCTATTTTAAAAAAATTCCGAAATTTAGTCTCCGTCCCGTAATTAAGACAGCGCCGTAGGGGGGGGGGGGGGGGGAGGGGGAGTGCATGTGGTATGTCGTAGTCGAATAATAAGAAATAACAAGCAAAATCAAAAACAAATTCGTTCACATCATTACAGCTCACACTCACAAATAACTGTCGCCGTGAATCCCAAATGATCTAGTCGATAATCGAATGCAATTCCGTTGGAGTGCAGATCTCTGCAGCCAAGTAGTCGGTCAGGATGTTCACTGTACTTATGGTGGTTCCGCTCGCAGAACTGCCCGCCTCCTGCAATTATATAATTCGCAAACAGCTGATAAGACAGCTTCTGATTCTTTCATGTTCCCTATTGGTAAGCCGTCTTACTGTCATCTTGTCTAACTTGCAGAGCACTAAAGACCGACATAAGCTACACAATTTAGGTGTTTGAAGAGGTCTGTTCAAGGAAGGGCAAATTACAAAGTCTGAATAGGAGCTGAGAGGGATATAATACATAGCCAAATTGTTTGCGTAACGAGGAATTTCGTGATTTATCGAGGGGAATTAGATGGGCTGGACATATAGCTCGGAGGGGATAAGAATTTTCCTGGGGAAACGTCTTGCAACGCATAGGATGTGAGGTGGATATAACTGACTCAGGGCAGTGTCCAATAGCAGGCTTTGGTAGAAAGTGTTAAAACCTTTGTTTTCAGCTGCCTGTAAGGCTACTGGGATAATTCATCTCTGGCTAAGAGCATCACATAGTCAAGGCATAAATTCTTTAATCACTTCTCAAAATGTTCTCACTTGGTGAACGGAAATAAATCAAATTTACTAGACGAACAAGAGAAGCGGAACTTATAAACAGCCGCTCGCCGTTGTCAGTGCGTCGCTTCTAGGACACAAAAACATGTTAATAACTTATCACGATGTACGTCAATGCATTATCTTGTTATGACTAGACCTCTGCTCGCGGGACAAGCCGCGTCATCTGACATTCTTGCAGGGGCGAACTTAACAAATACAAATTTGTAAGTTCAAATAAAGGTGTGGCCCACAGCACTTCCGGTCAGTTTTATTCTGTACTGCACGAGGGGCTGAGGACACTGAGATGAAGCTGCTATTGATGGGGAGTGAGCAGGCACATTCACGCTCCAGCCACATTACCCCTTACCCGTGTGAAGAGTAACCAGGGCCGATATGATGGCTGATGTCTCTATCATTGCCAGGAGTCGAACCCCAGGTCGTGCAGTGACAGACACGCGACTCTTAGTGTGACTCTCGCATGTGACAATAAAACTTTAAAGAGAGCTGTGGAAAAGCATGTATTTGAGGTTTTCGCGGCGGTAAGTACCAAGATGGCTGTCTTCTGGGTTGTTGCGCTGTGTAGTCTGGTCGATGTTTACCAACGTTTCAGAGGTCGTACTGCCTCCATCATCAGGGCGACTGGGAATCTCTTAACCAGCTGAGCGAATATGAGCTTATCATGTTCTGCGATACATTTGTTGAGGTTTTTGTTTTGGATGTTGTTTAATTTAAATGTGTTGAATTTTTTTATTCGTGGATCACCACATTTCATCCAAAGCCAACAAGCACCGCAGAAAAAATCTGACAGCTCAATCCTCCAGATCGGACGGCGGGGTTTCGAATCCCGTGTGGTACGGAAGTATTCTAGGATAAACAGGCCGGAGCGTTAGGCGCACGGAGGCGACAGACAGCACGAACAACCCAATACCCTACCAACTACACTGAGCCCCTCAAGGCGTCTCAAAGGTCTGGTCGATACGGTTGGTGCCGTGCGCTCAGAAGCAGAGCTTCAGTTACGAGTCAATCCACAAGATGATCAGAATTGGATTTGTTGGCGCGGGGAAAATTGCACAGGCTCTGGCCAAAGGATTCATAGCTGCAGGTAAGAGAGACCCATCACCCGCCGACAAAACAACACACTGATTTATTAGTTAGTTATCTGATGACGCCGTTTCGACTGCAGACGTTACATGACGCCGAATGAAACGGGAAGATGATCACGAATGATAAGCAGATAAGGTAGGATGAACAGTATTGTTTAACGACTCCGTAGCAAATGCACACGTTGGAATCTGATGAGAAATGGTAAAATTGAGTATTCGGAAAAATGTTGAAGGAAGCAGTAGTGGCCTTTTAATATGTGAAAATTTGAGGGTAACCACGAAACGTCTCAGTCACGATAACCCGGCCTAGATAAGAGCAAGGCGAGACAACAAACAAACATCCACTGACCAATACCTACAACAACACTCTTAAGTTCGGGAACAAATTCTGGTGAAAGAAATGAACGAGGAGAGAATCCAAGAGACAACAGTACAAAGGAGAAAGGAATGGAACAACGGAGTCAGAATGGCTTTGTTCAGGCTTCTTGCAATTGTGGGCAAGGCTCCTTCATCCAGAAACAAGATTGTTTCCATTGTACCTCTTTAAAGATTTCTGTCTTCTGGGTTGTTGCGCTGTGTAGTCTGGTCGATGTTTACCAACGTTTCAGAGGTCATACTGCCTCCATCATCAGGGCGATTCTTAGTATGAAGATTTCTGTCTTCTGGGTTGTTGCGCTGTGTAGTCTGGTCGATATTAACCAACGTTTCAGAGGTCATACTGCCTCCTCATCATCGCCCTGAGTATGAAATAGAAAGAAAACAAGTAAAAAGCAACTGCAAATAAATAAACAAACAATTTGTGAAAAAACTCTATTTATATAAAATTAATTACTCCATTTGGAACGGATTCACAAAAAAATGTACGTTATCACCCGTAAAGATGATGTAAACACGATGTACTGCGTCACCAATGAAGATTCTGTACAGTCGAGCCCAGAAGTGGGAAACTACGCGAGACGCACGTGATTATACAAATTTCATGAACCTCAAATCCTAAATAATAAGTATATTTCCTGCGGTGTTCATGGGCGCCAGTTTGCACGGCCACCATGTTACGGCCGTAAGCAACACCTTCCCAAAACTGGACATTTTTTCAAACATTTCCTATGAGCTTCACTTGTGGATTAAAATTAAAATGTGTAGTTCCAAAACCGTTGATTAGTTGTGGATATAAAACGTATTCCTTATACACTAGCACTGCTGTCCTCTACCCGGATTTTTGTCAGTAAATGTTTTCTTGTGTTCACAGGTTTAACCAAAGGAGAGAAAATAGTGGCAAGTGATCCATTTCCCCAGACCATCAAAAACTTTGAGGTATATAATGGCATCACGTTCAGACGTGAACGAAACACAAATATTTCATCAGTTTTTGGTAGGCCACGGAATGTCAATACGAATATCTAAGAGCAGTTGCTTAGCCAGTCAAAGAATTTCCTCATTTATGGAACTCCTAATGACAAAAACCCACCATTTGACCCTATTCTCATACAGTCAGATTTAATCTACACTTTACCAACAATTTTTCGAAGATCCACTTTAATATCATCCTTACCATCTATGTTTATTTTGCCTAAGTGAGTCCTCCTTGCAAGTTTTCCAATCTCTATTTTGCATTTCACATTCTTCGCATGTGCTACATGTCCTGCCCATCTCATCCCTGATTTTTCATTCGAATATATTTCATGGAGAGTACAAATTATGAAGCTCCTCTGTGTACGTTTTTTCACCTTCCTGTTTCTCTTTCTGTCTTAGATACATACACCCTCAGCCCATGGTGACATTTCAGGTTCTCACGGCAGCAAGTATGAAGATGACTTTCTTCTTGGATGTTGCGCCATGTAGCCTCACAAAGACTAATATTTTGGAGGTGCTTGCTACCTCCATCATCAAGGTAATGAGTAAGTACCTCTGAAACATCTGTCAACTTCTATGAGACTACACGGCGCAACGTCTTAAAGACAGTCATCTCAACCCCCCAGCCCATGTTCTTATCTCAGATTGAGAGACCAAGTTTGACACTCATTCAAAACAACAGGTACAATTACAATTTCATATACTTCTTAATCTTTAGGTATTTAGGAAACTTTTCTAAATTTATGTGGTGGTGCTTGGCTTCTGACACTCACATCTTTAGTGAAATCTGCCAAGCCAGAACGCTGAATGACACTCCTATGTCTCACCACAAGACAACTAGGCCCCACTACTCAATTTATATTTTACAGTAGCTTATCTGAATTCTGGATAACTGTAAAAACTTGTTACCTTGATGTAAGGTATCACAATGAAACATGGAGTCTGCAACAGATTAATATTTGAAGATTTCTGTCTTCTGGGTTGTTGCGCTGTGTAGTCTGGTAGATGTTAACCAACGTTTCAGAGGTCATACTGCGATCGCTCTGATGACGGAGGCAGTATGACCTCTGAAACGTTCTTTAACATCGACCAGATGACACAGCGCAACAACCCAGAAGACGGAAATCTTCAGACTCACCGCTGTGAAAACCTCAGATCTTACAGATTAATATTTGTCCGATACATTCTGAGGTATAGCTTTGCGTAGAGTTCAGGACTTCAAAAAACTGCACATACAGCATTCAACTTAACTTCAGCCTTTGTCCCAAAAGAAAATGAATGCTTAATTCCATTTACAAAGTGCAACTTAACAAAGCAGTATTTGTGAATCATTAATGGATGGAACTTTGTCTTGTCTTTCTTCAGCGATAAAAATGCCTGGCAATGGCAATCTTCTGGGTATAGAAACGCAAATGTCTATAAAGAAAACAGCACAGGCAGTCTCCAGTCTTATGGCAAATCATTTCACTGTGAATCAGACCCTGTTCCCAGATGTATTACGGTCATGTTCCTGAAACTTGTTTTTTTAAAAGAAAGTGCTTAACCACTGTAAATGTTGTTAGCAAACTGCTATACAGTCATAGGAAAAAGAATCTGATCTGTACAGTACATGCCAAATTAATGCCGAGTTGTAAATTTAGAATGCTGTAAGGCATATCCTTGCAATTTACGCAGATGCTGGGTGCGCAGATATCGAGTGACAACAGGTTGGTGGTGGAGCAATCAGATGTGGTGTTTCTTGCTATTAAACCTGAGACTGTTCCAGCTGTACTCTGCAACATCAGGCCACACATCTGCAAAAGACATCTCCTTCTTTCCACTGCAATGGGAGTTTCCATCCAGGACATCGAAAAGGTGTGTACCTACAGATCACTGGCTCCCTTAAATCCAGAACAATACATGCAACTTTTGCAGATATGGCAGTTGTACTTTAAGTTCAAAGGTCCTCTTGGTGATCCATGAACGTGATTCTCAAAATGTCCTTAGTAGGGACAAGCATCTAAGGACCATTGTCATGTCTCAAACCATACAGAAAAAAAAGTATCTATAGTCTAAAAATCTAATTATTACTCACATATATGAACATGTTTTTTTATGATATAGAAATCAATAATTTTATGTGGCATTAAAACTGAAGAGACGTCATAATCACCCACATTGAACATTTGCAATTATAAATGATGCACAAGGGTATTATATTGTCAGATATTTGCATAATCGAAGGATGTATGATCCATGTCCCCACTTCTGAGAAATCCAGTGACTGAACTCAAAATTATGTGTCCTAATCTTCACCACCCAGTCTATCACACCTTAAATAGTGTAAGGACAGTGACATTTAACTAACACAAGCTATTCAATCCTTAAATAAAAATATCAGATGAAAACTATCAGTAGCTGTAATATAAATTACAATTTGCAGATTGGTGATGGTCATAGACCTGTAGTTGGGAGTAACTGTACCATAGACAATAATTAATACTGAGCATTACATTCATTTATTGAGTACAATAAAGCTATAAATATACTGCATATCAGATCATGGAGGACAAGATTAATGGACATTTCACATAAAGAAAAACTGAGAAATGTATAAAACATTCTTGTTTGAAAACCTCAAGAAAAATGACCAAGTGTGAGAACTAAATGTAAGTAGAATGATATTGAAATATATATTAGAAAGAAACTAGGGAATTTCATCAATGAATACAGTATCAACCATTCTATGCGGACCCTGCACATGGAGCTAGTTATATTATTTACACAAATGTCCATGAATGGGTGAAAATTCTCCAAGTTCACTGTTTTTAACTGCTGTGATAAGGAACACACATTAGACACCAGAGTCATGCCTCTGAATCCACTCACGATACTTACAATTCATACTTCCCCCCACTACTTACTATAAATATCATTGGCTGATAAAAGTGTGTGCCCTCCAGAGATTTCTCTTTTGGTCAAAAATTATATTAATTCTGATGCCACAAGCAGAAGTTTTTTGTTGCCACATGCTTCTCTCAAGTGATGCTGTTTATAATGAACCATTTCCCTCATAAAATTCTGATGTCACAATGACAGGCTTTGCCCCCTGCTACAAGAGTAATCCGAGTGATGCCCAACACACCTGTCCTTGTCAGGAATGGTGCTTCTGTCTTTGTGTGTGGCTCAGCAACACAGTACGAAGATGAGATCATCACGCGTCGACTGCTGGAAGCCATTGGAACATGTGACAAAGTTCCAGAGTTGCTCATGGACACAATCACAGCTCTAAGTGGTTCCGGTCCTGCTTACGTGAGTAATAACTTTGTAGGGCATGGCTACCCATGTGTACCATTTGCTTCAATTGCTTTTATAAATGTTAAGCCGCTAACACGGAGAGTGCTGGTAACAGTAACATTTTTAAATACTTAGATGAATTGTGATTTTAGAAGGGTTAAGTCACAATAACATAGACGTGCACAGAGGAAGACTGCAACAGTGCTGAAGGCACCCAGGGTAATTGTGGATTACAAACATTGTATGAAATACTCATACATTATGTACGTGAAAAAGAACACAGCAACAGCATCATTCTTCCGTATATTAATGAATGTTCTGAGAGTCCTTTAAATTTCAGACTCAATTTCTCATTCAATTTCATCATCATATGGGATAAAAATCTGTTTATTTTATGGACTGTCTTTGATTTACTTAGTGACACCTTTTCAAATACATTACTTGTGCAGTATCAAATGGTACAATAACTGCAAACATAGTGGCCCCAGCCTATTTTAAGTCAGTAGCTCAGCATTTGCCTCAAGGGAACCAAGAAAATCATAAAAAAAACAGTCAGGACACCTGGTCTATAGATCAAGAATGAAACCCAAAACACAAAGCACATATTCAGTGATTTCGCAACCTCTACTGTTACAAGGTATACATCATAATTGAGGCACTAGCTGATGGTGCAGTGAAAATGGGCCTACCAAGGGATCTGGCGTATCGGCTGGCAGCTCAGACTGTTGTTGGGGCTGGAAGCATGGTGCTTGCTACAAAGGCTCATCCGGCACAATTGAAAGATGATGTGACATCACCAGCAGGTAATTAAACTAATCAGGGTACTCAGATACTCGGCTTGATTGGGACAATCTGAAAGATTTATGACAATTATCACAAAGCCCTGCCTTCAAAACAATCTTTACACCAAAAAAACTTCCATTATCATTTATTAATATGTTCATACATTTTTCAATCTCTGGCCATCAGCATTTCCTTCCTATGCCAAACCGTACTGAATACTCTCTTCCTGACCTAACACATGATGTAAAAAGTAAAGTAAAGCTGTCCCACTATATGCCATGTAGGCACTTTGGGGCAGAGGAGGTATAGCTTAAACTCATTCTTAATCTCGATACTACGTGGGGGTTGAGTGGGTAGCATCACGCTCTGGCCACGCTTTACCCCTCAGAAAGGACCCCAGTACCCATTGTGTAGGAGGCTGGGGGAACCCCAGAGCCAGTCTGGATGCAAAGGCTAGAGGAAAAATCCTCTGCCCCCGTCAGGGATCGAATCCCAGTTGTCCAGACTGTAACCTATGATGATGATGAAAAATCAAAGGTAGCTTGTTTTGAAGTATGTACATGTTAGATTATTTCTATTCTTGTTCCATCATATCATGACACTGTTGGTCCACAAATACCTAGATAATATTGCTGATTCTCAGGTTCTACAGCCGAGGGACTTCACTTCCTTGAGCAACACGGATTGCGGACAGCACTCATCGGGGCCATTGAGGCAGCCACATTAAAATGCAGACAAATTAGCAAAGAAACAAAAGAACATATATCAAACAGCTGTTCAACAAAGCAGCAGTTATGTATAAAATCACAGGATCAGGCAGACAATTTCAGTGCAGGAAAACGTGTCAGAAATTAAAGCCCACATTAGTTGATTACCAGACTTGGTGAGAACCGCAATGAAAATCCACTTCTCCTTATTCACTAGAACACATCACACCTGTATTTTCTTCTGCAAACTTGGTCAGACCCATACTTCTGATCATGATTATATAAACTTATTTAACCGATATGCACTTACTGCTTTCTTACTTAGGCTACTAAAATATTTTGTTCACATGCATGCCAGCATCTCCGAACACAGCATCAACAAATAACAGTTCAGAAAACATTAAAAAATGCTGCTGAGTGTCAATTCTTTACAGAATTATTAGGAAATATACTACCAAAAACTTACCTCCCTGAATTTCTAGCAGTGTGAAAATTAGAATTGAAACTCTACACCTGTCTTCAAACTGCTGAAAACAAGGAGTTACAGTGTGTGATAAAACACTGATGTTGAGTAGTTAGCACCCGTGCTTTTTATTTTGGATGTCCTGTGTTTGATTCTCTGCACAGACAAGATTTTTTTATAATTTTCTTCAGTCACTTCTGACAAATTCTGCTTAAACACTGATCACGACCTCTTCCTTCTCACTTCATCCATCTGATGCCACATGACCTAGGCAGTTGAGAGCGCAACAAAAAATAAACTAAGGAACATTCATTGTGTACACAATACCATAGAAGCCAAAATCTTTAACACGATGTTTACCTTGTGAATTTATCAGTATCACAAGAAAACCTAATGTGTACAATATTGAACACTATTTATCAGCTGATCACAAGTATCAGTTTCCTTAGATATTCTCCTCTTGTCACTGTGTTCCATACCTGATTCCATCTATGCTCTAATGGTCAAAACTCAAAAAATATGCCTTTAACTGATGTTTACTCAGAACTGACAATATCAACAGTGACTGATTCTATTATCACATGACAGCAGCACACATTCGTTGCTGTGTTGTCACGTCTCTCCTCTACACAACTAGTTTCATTCACAGTTGTATCACTCTTTGAACACGAAGTCCAAATTACTGCAAATATATAAGATTATTCCCATGCTACTGCATGTGAATAGACGAGCGAGTCCATGGACAGAAGAGAACAAAGTTATTGTGTCCGAACAGTACACTAATCACAGAACAATGGATGTAAATGAAGACCTTTTGTGTCACCCAACTGTGTGATCAACAAGTGAAGAAATTTTCAATGTTCTTGTACAAAAATGGGTCAAGAAACATGAAATAGTAGAGCATGTACCCTACCATGAATATGGTAATAAGTTCCTCAGAAACTCTTATAACCAACTTAAGACAACACACCATCACAATGTAGAAGACTACAATCCAAGTTATAAGAAACAGCAAGCATATGGTCCCTATCTTACACAATGTTCTAAACTAGGCTGAATGTATTGCAGTCTTGTAAAATAAAGCACATTTCCTTATCATTGTTTTTCTATACAGTGTTCCCTAACAATCATTAATACAAACAATTTCTGTACAAGATATATGTTTATAATGGTGAGAGCAGGCTTGTTTCCTGGCTTGAGCAGTCACGCAGTCTTGTAGCTGGTTACCAAAGTTTCAAAGGAACCTGTCACCACCACCTTGAGGTAAAATGAGGCAGTAACTTCCTCTGAAATTTCCGTGACCACCTACAAGACTACATGGGGTCACAACCTGGAAGACTACAATAAAAACTGTTTTTGTCCTTGAGTTCAGTATATTTTAATTTCCTACATCAGTTACTATACATGGGATTCATGAAATGCATTGAGAGGACTGCTACCACTGTATGTGATATATTTCAATTCTCTGAGAAATGTTATGTAATTACAATAAAATTGCTATTCATAATTCTGTGTAGAACTAGTGAAATGTTATAAATTAATCCAGCAGTTATGAATATATAATTTATATCAAAACAATAGTAACAAAAAATAAATAAATAAAGTACTATGTGATGGAACGCCTGTCTTGTTTCATGTATAGGGCCAATGTCGTGTAAATTATAATTTTTTATAAAATTTTAGTGTCTTAGAACGTGTAGAGGACATGCTTGTTTGCACTGCCACAGAACTCATACTATTTTCAACCAAACTTCTTACCCTACAGTGAGCTGGGTAGCTCAGTCAGTACGGTGACTGACTATGGAAAGGACGATTGGGGTTTGATCCCTGATGGGGACAGAGGATTTTTCCTCTAGCCTCTGTGTCCAGACCAGCTCTGGGGCCCACCCAGCCTCCTATACAATGGGTACTGGGGTCCTTTCCCAGGGGTAAAGTGTGGCCAGGGTGTGATGCTATACCTCCACTCCCCCCCTCCCCCCTTAGTGGGACAGCTTTACTTTTTACTTCTTACCGTATATGAACTTTTGTTCCATACACATTATGGAAAACATATACCACATGAAGTGGTAGTAGAAAACTGGTGTCTACTGGCATTTTCCTTTTTGTCTACTGAAGTCTTTTATATAACAGAAATTTTTATTATGTAACAATTCTGACAGCAAATAAAAAATGTATAAAATGTTCTTCTTACATAACAAAATCATACATTTTCAGATGTCTATATTTCCAAGTATTAAGACTATGTACTTCTGAAATAATACAAAAAAGTGGAACTCAGGTGAAGTGTTACACAAGTATAAAAAGATGACACGCAAGAAACATGACATTTGAAGTAACATCATGCTACTTCATAGTATAAGAGGATGTTTCAAAAAAGTAACAGCACATAATAAAACATACATGCGGGAGATAATGAACCACCGTCTGCACAGTTCTGACCTCATACCAAACAATTTCCATCTCTTTGGACCCCTGGAGGAGTACCTGACCGGTTAATGCTTTGCAACTACAGCTGATGCAGCACACTGCCATTTCCGGTCTAAAGGCACTTGACACCAATTTCTTCCGTGCCAGGACAGATACTGGTGTCACAGTGGGCCAAATGTTTATAAGTCTGTCATGACTATGTGGAAAAGTGATGTGTACCAAAGTCATATTTGCTCCATCTACGTAGGAATAAAGTCCTTCACACAGGGATGCCTGCTATATTATTTTTAAACACCCTCAAATTCTCCATTGTGATAATTATTTGTACGTTATCAATTGATAAATGGCATAATTTAATTATAGTAACACAACTTTTAATTTTGTTATATCAACATTTCACTGCACAATACAAGTGCTCCTATCTTCCAGGAACGCCATGTGATTTACAGGAAAGTATCAACTTTTACAATGACAATTACATTCAAAAGTAAACAAGACAGGTTTAAAATAGTTTTCTACCTACAAAAAGGTATATCACTGCAACGAAGCAAGTGTTTGAAAACATAAATTACAAGGCAGGTGTTGATAACGCAATGAACAAGCCCTTTTGACAGAAGATATTCAATACTTAAATGCTGCAGTTCGCAGTTGTAGCTTGGGTATGTCCATACCCAAGTTGTAAATGAACATAGCAGAAGTTGAAAGTCTGAAGATTAACATGGCATTCTCATCAAGAAAGTCAGATATCAGAGGTATCACAAGAGGTGGTAATGTATTTGTTTTAATCCCAAAATGCCAAAATAGCTTTTTCATGAAGATGGATTTCATTTCGTGTGAGTGTTTGAGTTTTAAGAAAATGTGGACTGTAGTGACTCTGCTCTTCTTAGTTTATAATAAAAAATGTATCAGTCTTGGAATGTGCAATATAATAAAATAATATTAGTCTATTATAAAGAATAAATTCAATGACATCATGCTCAACCTATGGATAGAGAGAATAGATTGTACATGCATCAGTGTGAAGACCCAATGCTTAGATAGGTGGCATAATACTGAAGTATTCTGGGAACTGGTTTGGTCATTTATAAAAAATTTGGTTAAACATGAGTTGTTAGACATTATAAATACCAAAAACCAGTCCTGCTCAAAAATTGTTGTTGTGATTGAACAAACTTTGATTATACACCCAATCTAATCAGGGTGTCTTCAGTTGTCGAACAAAATAACATTATTTTAATAATGTGTGTAAAATAATGGTGTTTTACGCCGTGCCCGTAATTACGATACCTTGTTACGACCGAAGACAAAATTCCCAAACATATCAACCTAAAAGATTTTAAGAAGCACGGAGTTCTAGGAATAGGTGGTAAGTACAACTTTTTTAATAACTGGCTAATTAGCTTTGCATTTCTCTGCTAATGAAACATGGACCTGATTCTCTGAACCCTTATGTATCAATGGGTAAAATATTTTTAGCGATTACTAGTGCTTATTCATTGTTCTTCCTCACTAATCTTCTGTGTGATGTTATGTTTTATGATTTAATATTGGGCACATAGGTAAAGAATTGTCGATTCATAATCTCAGCAGCAAATGCATGAACCACACTGATACTCTTTACCATTGTCATGGATGCATTTAAGGACATAGTCACTAATGCAGTTCTTATGCAGATGGACAATAAAGAGACCAGCATTTTATCACTATCTTTCTGACATATATTCATGTTCACAACACCTGTCCATTGTTAAGGTACGCACTTGTTATTGGAGTTGTGGGTGATAGAAAGTAAAGTAATAGTTTTAGAAGCAGACAGAGGTACGAGTGTAACAGCAAGTACGAGACGAGCTGAAAGTAAAGAAAACATGGGAAGTACCTAAAGTTGTGTTAAGATTTTTATTTTATTTCCTTCTTTCCTTTTGCTCATACTTTAAGGATTATAATTTCACGTCAGTGTTTGAGTTACCACAAACTTTGCCATTCTCATCTTCTTTGTCACATATAGAATATCAGGGTTTTAGTGTGCCATATAACAAAATTATATTAAATATTCTATTATCAAAAGTGAATTTTATTTTGGATTATACCGCACCAATGACTTTGAAGCTTAATTCACAGGAAGATATTATTTAAGTTATAAGTAAATTGCTCCTGTAACCTCCTTGCCAAAAGAACTGGTCTTCCCTCCATGGTCCTTAGTTTCCAAGTTACAAAAACCGTATTCATCGTTAATCAAACTCATGACATTTTTGGGGGGTTGTGGCCTTCGTTTCAATGTTCTTCTCTTCAAAACAAACAACTTTGGCCCTGAGACCATTCTGCCATCATGCTCAGTTTCCAAGCTACTGGAAAAGCCCTCACTTCGTGTCAAACTCAGGAAATTTTTCCTGACATTTTGACTATGGGATGTGTTCTCTTTCTGGTCTCAGAAAATAAGCATGTCAAGTTTTGAGAAAATTGGTATCTGTGTTCTCGAGGTGCTAGCAAACAAATAATAAACCTACAATTTGAACTCTATAATATGCATTACATTATTAGTAAGTTCAATAAAAAGAGAATTAGATAGAAACCTACAGCATGTGGCACGTATTGAGGGAACTAGAAATACATATAAAATTCAACTCGGAAATCCTGAAGATAATATTAAGATGGATCTTTAAGGAGCAGACTGAGTGGATGTGGACTGGATTCAACGGGCTCAAGAAAACGTCCAGTGCCGGGTTGTTACGAATATGTATGCACCCGGTCAATATAGGGGGAATTTTTTATGAGATAAACTGTTATCAGTTTGTCAGGAAGTATTCTGCTCTATGAAGTTGGCTTTAGTGTTAAAGATGGTGCTTAATAACTCTAATCATTACACCACAGTTGCAAATTATATAATCTGACTTTCTAAGGTGCTGTTAGCATAACTGTTTCCATCTTCATTATTAGCTAGAATTTATGAACAATTTTTATTCCAGATATTATTTGAATTACTAACAATCACCTGATTGAGCCATTATACTGGGAAAAAAAGTGGTTTACTTGTTCCCAGTACAGTGCTACTCCAACATAACTGTTATGTTATCATAAGTCATTTATATTTTGCCATTAATACCAATTGCTTGTGACCAATACAGTACACTGTCGCTTGGCCCTACAGCCAGCAACCTCACATACTTGTGTACTATGGCTACAATTTAAATTTACAGCAGAGTACAAACTTTCAACGATGTTAAAACCCCATGCATATTTTTATAATTTACAACCTTCTTAAAAAACATTTTCAAAATGACTTCAGTAGTCAGTCATTTACCAAATTGTCTTTCATTCTCCATATATAAATACATTACATTCACATGCATGCGCAGTAGAACCTCAATCAACTGTTATAACTGCTCTTATACATTAAGTGACCCAGAGATAACAGCTTGTCTTTGTGCATGTGTGTAAGTTATAAAGCTGTTGCCTTGCTTTACAACATACATTACAACACCTGCTAAAAATTAGGGTGCACACCTTTAGGCTACAAACACATTAGTGCTCAAATATGCATGAGCTGTGTGCCCAGTTTCCTTCCAAAAAATATTTAAATACTTTAAAAAGAGAAATAATTCATTCTGAAACTTTAAATGTAATCACCCTAAATAATTACAAATTTTAATCTTCCTTTGAGATTCATTTAATTTCCCTACTCATTAACCACTTGCCTTATTAATCTTTTCCCCAAATTTGCGACAGCAAAAAAGCATCTTACTTTAGTTCAGTTCTGTGACCTCTCAATATAAATGAAGTAATGTACACGAATAATTTTTCAAAATACTTCATAACACAAGAAAATCTTAAAAGTAGCTTCATTAGTATTCCACATTAGCTTGGGCTCTGCTAACTTGTTTTGTGCTGTTTGGTAGAACCAATGTCAAGCTTGTATGTCAACAGAATAGTCTGAATCTGAGTATATAATTTCTACTTCCAACAAAGAAGTACCACTGTTTGACTCATCAACATATATGTCTTCCACTACACCATCATGACTGCAAGAAATGCTTTCATGTTCCCTATCACAAAATAACAATAATGTTGCAATACTACACAATGCATACATATTACGACTGCTTGCAAAACCCACAAAACAAAGGAATAATATATAAGCACTGTGACACATGAAGACAAAGAAGTATAAAAGAAATCCACCAAAGGCATTACTTGTCAATGAGCTATCAAAACTCCATATAGTGAGAAGCTCAACTGCTACGGACAAAATAAATTAGACAGTAAATCACAGCCACATTCTAACCACTACAAGCTAAGTCAGGATGACATATTTTAGATAAAATTTTCAACCTAAGTTAATTCAAGATAATAAGGAAAGTGTTCAAGTGTTGAAAGAACAGCTCCAATGTAAAACTGTTGATGTTTATCTTGCTCATCGTACAAATAACATAAATAAGTTTACCTTAATTTTGAGAGTACGAGTATATAATTCTAAATATAGTAGTCTTTCTCACTTTTTATTCCACAAAGCTGTAATAAGTTTACCTTAATTTTGAGAGTACAAGTATATAATTCTAAATATAGTAGTCTGTCTCACTTTTTATTCCACAAAGCTGAATGTGACACAGCACAGCTTCTGTACAGATGTACAACACATGGCAACAGTTCTGCCCCTTCTTAGTCATCAATGGAATGATACATTGAAGTAACAAGTACATTAAAATACACTTGCTATACAAATCTTGTCCACAACTCACCTGTATCACAATTAAAAACATCTGTGAGCCACTTTCACTGAAGCCAAATAAATATACAGACTACAGTTTGTATTACATCTCACCATCACACTCCAGACATGGGGAAGGTGTCAGTTTTTCCTGTCATGGCTTCCTTGCTAAGATTATGACATAAACATATATAATTATCACATAGGAAACTGAGAACAGCTGTACTTAGATTCTTGAGATCAATAATGTCATCATGTCTCTACCCTGTTTACTGTGTGGCTGAAGATGAAGTAGCAGCTGTTCCATTCAACACTGGCCAGCACTATCTCTGTTTCTAGAAACGAAGTGCGTAATTTTTGTTCTTCAAAGGTAAACAGTTGTAAGACACAATTATGAACTATACTTACACCAAACCAAACTGAAGACTACCCCCTTCACAATTTATACTCATGGAAAAACAAACTTTCCTGTTATGAAATAACATATACAGCTGAACTAAAATGAGCAAACTGTCCTAAAGGTGACACAGACCTCTGTTCTAGAATAGTACTTTGCTTTGTTCAATTCACAACATAGTCCCTGTTTCTTCCACTGCTAAATTAAGAAATTCATTATATATTTGGGTAAATACAGTGCATCTTCAGTAGACAACTAAGTCTGTACATACATTCCAAGTGTCAGTTTCATCTGACTTATAGATACTTAAAATACCAATTTAATTTGCTCTGTAACACTAAATAAGTCTCAGTTCTAGGAATTTTATTACAAAAGCTTCTGAACGGAAGTTATGGCTGTTTACTATTGGGTACAGACTCATTGAAAGGCATGCAGAGTAATGTTGTGTATTGTGGTCTGATACCCCAACTTTATGCCTGTCACAGTCTGAACCACTTTATGGACTGCTGTCATGTTTGACTTCAGTCATTATCCCATTTGGCTAGTTCTTAGAGGCTAACTTTCTATCACACAATTCTTATCAATATAATTTTCAACACTTTCACATTCACGTAAATGTGATATCTGCATTTCCTGCAGCTGGGAGTGGCACAGTCAGCCTCTTTGCACACCCATAATCATCATGATTAGAAACATAACACTACTTAACAGATAATGCTTGTTTCAGGTGACGAATCAAGTGACTACCCACGTCTCTCACTTCAGGCCACTGCTTCAAAATAAACACAACACCAGCAACAAGTACAGTCGTAGTCAGGACTCGTAGGCTGCAACACAGACACAATTAAACCGAGTGATGACAAATAATCCTTTCCGTGCTATACAATCCACATACAATTTACAGGCAATACCTTTCTGGTATGGATGTCTGGTGTTTGAGTACATCAGTGAAAGAAATGTGTCCCACTAACACTTTTAACAATTAAAGCTAGCTATTCATGAACTTTTCACAATAATGGATGAGGTAGGAAGGATAGGAACAGTGGTATACCAAAAATTGTGGTATATGCAGTTGGCACATTTAAATGAGAACCAAAGGAAAGCATCTTACAAAAGAAAGATTCTTAAACAGTGAAGGATTTGATTAAAGGTCAATTTAGAAGCGTGTGGGAGTGAAAATAACCCAAAAGACTGGAGGGCATGGAAAACATAAAATGTAATATCATGAAATAAAAGAAAAGGAGAAGTTTAATACTTGGGAAGTAAAATGGTGATAAAAAATTTGGGGGGGAAAATTTTACCACTTGGTGAGACACTCTGGCAATGGGAATCACCAAAGGGGAAAATATGCCTATTTTAAAATCACTACATGCCCATATTAACATATACAGCAGAAACGTGCACTTAGATGAATGCAGACAGTAGATTAATGGTAGCAGAGATGAGACATATATCCAGCTAAAATTAACCCATGTGGATTCACTAAAATTCTTAACATATATTGATGACCCATGATGATGTAATGATCTCAGAAAAAAAATTATATCTGTGACTAAAGAAGTACAGGCAACTCTCGGTTTACGAAGGAGTTCCGTTCCAAGATGATGTTCGTTATACGTTTTTGTTTGCATTCCTGAGCTTTTACGATACATATCATATATGTTAGCAGCCATTTTAAAGCATTAAAACCATATACTAAACATCGAATGGTCTATACAATACGTTTCATTATGTATGCGTTATGGTTTATCGTATATGATACGTAACGTAAAATAAAACAAGAAAAGAATAATAAAACAAGGTATCGTACTTGTTAATTTTAATTAGAAACATAAAGAGTTATAAAATAAAAATAAAGAAAATGAGTACTAACATAATATATGTACATACATATGTATTCAACTTTATAAGGAACTCCATCTATTTGCGACTTTAAGATATTTTGAATGAATTATGACATTTGTTATAGAGAATGTTCGTAAATCAAACATTTTTAAGCCGAGAGTTGCCTGTAATGTAATACAGCACATAACAAGTATCACTGTAAAACAAAAACTTACCGTGTTCTCAGGAAAGGCATCACTATTCCAGCTGCGGTGGCAACCAGCAACAAGATCACTTGAAGCACAGTAAGCACCACATTGATGAGCTTGACCACAAGAGCTCGCGCATTTGAGTTGTCAATGCCTTCCAGAGTGACATACTGCTGGTGTTGCTGTTGCTGATGCTCCATCTTTGAAATCTGTTACATTTAACACACAACACTGTATTTAATTTCTTGCTATGAAATTAAGAAAAAAATTGACTCCGCGCACATTCTACTCTTACATATAAGACATCAATAAAATATTCCATCTACTAAGTTTGAAAGGGATAATCCAAAGTGACCAGACAGGAAAACATTGTATCATAGTAATGTGCTACACATCACGTAAACAAACAAACAAATGAAGATTTCTGTCTCCTGGATTGTTGCTCTGTGTAGTCTGGTAGATTTTTACCAATGTGCCGGAGGCAGTACGACCTCTGAAACATTGGTAAACATCTACCAGACTACACAGCGCAACAACCCAGAAGACAAAATTCTTCACAGTCACCGCTGTGAAAACCTCAAATCATACAACAGAAATGTGATAAAGACTGAATTAATAAACCATTCTTGTTACCAGGTAATCCTGTATAGGAACTACTTATGTAAAAAAACAGTAACATTTTACATTATAACATTTTCACACAATTTCATAAACCACACACCCAATTTTTTGAGCATGACACTTTGGAAAATAAATGTGTCATGCAATCAAATGTGTGTATCATTACAACAGTTTTCTATGTTTAAATTTATACAAGAAAGGCAGTATTACACTGCTACATAAAAAATCACATATATATATAAAATGTTATAAAAGATACTAAACCAGAGTGTCGATTTTTGCAGGAACCAGACTCATGATTGTTCAGGGCAAGTAGACCAGGTAAAACAATTGTCAGATAAAAAATGTATACATTCTATCAGTCAACACAACCACAAAATCTTACACTTTAAATGTAGCGACACATTCAATAATTCTCTCATCCTCAGGCACTACAAATATGACGACAGATTTTACATATAATTAATGATAATGCTCAGAATATGTCATACTGTTTACATTTCTACTTCTGATATATTGTGTTGAACAATACACTGGCATATTAAATCATAAAATCACTATTCCCAAAACTTAAAAATGCACAACTATACATAAAATGCCACTAAAAGTCTTTATTATTGTACGTCATCATTCACTAATTTGCAAACATTGGCTGTTTTTGTAACTCACTCATGTAAGTCACAGTTCTGATAACTTCCTATTATCAAACTAATTCCTATAATTTGTACATATGTCTACCCATTTTAACTCCAAAACTTTTAGGTAGAGCATGGCAAATGCTACACTACACATTAAAATCAGTAAACTACAAAAATACAGAAATAAGTCTGTCAACTGAACAAATTACACCAACTTCAAGCACATGCCATGCTGTACCTAATAAATGTGACAAAGTCTGCTCTGTTCTTCTTTGCCTTCCCTTATGATCTCACTCCTCTTACATGTAATTGCATTCTATTCTCTCACTTGGTCTTTGACTCTCTCAACATCATCACTTTTTGTGCTCTGAAAATAATGAAGTAATGGCTCTGTCATTGTGAGCGGAGGGAACACATCTGGACTAAAGGACTGCCTACCATGAAAAGTACACGTTCACTACTACACTACTGAGGCTTCTGGCACAGTGAAGTAAAAGAAAAACATAACTCTTGGCACTGCCATAATAACTGAAAAGGATCAAAAAGATGGATAAAATAGCTTGGAGTGGTGAAAGCCAACAGAAGAGATTACATTGGCAAGGAATTACATGATATGTAAATGTTATGACGAGAAGCTTCAGATCACACATGTGCAGTCTGTAACCTACAAACCTAAAATGAATTTGTTACAAAGAGGACCCACACATAATTTTTAAATAGCTTTATTCAATTCACTAAACTAAATTTTGTGTTCTTGGACTCCTACTATGACTTTGCAGAGTAACAATGGGTTTTCCTAATGCCTCTGCACAAACGAAAGCAGATGGCAGGAGCAAACATGCAGATGAACAATGCAAAGCGAATTGAGTTGCCTCCTCTTATCATCAAAACGGATAATTGTGACCTGTTGAAAGATAGGCAGTTTAAAATAATTTTATATGAACAATGATTACTTGCTGTAATAACTGTAATCAACGTAATCAGTCAATACCAAATGAGCTTTGTATTTCAGATGTAGACTGAGCTCTTTAATATTACAAATCAATCTGGAATAAAGTTGCATACCTTAGTCTGGCAAGACTCTAGCATCTCGTGAATGTCACGAAGACGCTCCTCGCTCTGGTACTGCACCTTCTCTTCCATGTCTGTAATGGTCTGCTTCAGATTCTCCACTTCATTCTGGTGCAGCTCTGTCAGATCATTCACCTGTTCTTCCAGACGCTCACTACGAAATCGTTCTTCCTGCAGTGCTTGACTCATGAAGGTGACTTCCCGCTGCAAGGCCTGCTGCAAGGAGACACCCTGCCTTGCTATATGCACACATTCAACTATCTCCTGCTGGTTGAGATATTTCTTGGATTTATGAAACATTCACAAAAGTCTGTCATGAATTCTACAGTTGTCCACTACAATGCAGTTTACACCTCTAAGACTTTCTCCCATATGGCTTCTTCTTTTGAAATTTTACGATCAAATTTAATTTCTTCTTGTTCAAAATGTACAGCCCTGACAGCAGGAAAACTTACATGTGACATATGCCTTAATACTCTACAAGGAAAGACAGGCTTGTACTTCATTTTCAGTTTTGATGCATCACTAGAGCTAGGCATGTAAAATTTTGTATTAAAATATATCATATATATGGATACAAATTTCATATAAAATAATTTTTGTACTACCAATTTCAAACATGCTAATCATGCAAAGTATTATGTTATACTGGGGAAATTTAACAGTTTGAATCTGTAATAGTGGAAACTTAGCACAAAAATAATCACTACATAATACATTATCATCAAATCATAGTTCTTGGCTAGTCTCAATATACAGACTAAAACATCAGTTGTTCCCAGACATTTCTGCTGCTAGTATCTGCATTCTTTATAAACTTACCTCCACACTAAATATGGGTGCCTTTTGGATTGTAGCTCCATGTAGCCTGGTAGAAGTTTGCCGTTTCAGAGGGTGATGAGCAATGATGATGGAGGCAGCAAGGACCTCTGAAATGCTGGTGACCTTCGACCTGACTACATGGCACTACAACCCAGAAGTCAGCCATCTTTGGATCCACCACCATGAAAACCTCAAATAGTACTTACCTTCACACCTTCCAATTCTTCCCTCAACCTGTCAATTTCTTCACGTCTCTCTTGCAACTCAGTGAATATTGGTTCCAGACTATATGTGGCTGCCAAATGGAGTGTGGCAGGATGGTTGGGTGAGAACTGATGAGTGATATTACCAGCTGGAATGCTTCCGCTAGTCACAGAACTGCACTCCGAGCCCTCCTCCGAAGCAAACTTTATAACTCCAGCACTGGACGAAGCATGGGTAGAACCAAGACTGCAACCACCAGGAAGGGTTGCACTACCATGGTGAGTTTTCTCCTCATCAACTGACCCATTATCACCATTCCCTAGACAAAAAAATAACAATCTGAACTTACGTAAAAGCACAAAAGATAATGCGCTGGAGCCTGTAACAGATTTGACAGGAACTCATGAAAATGGTTCCTATGTACTACAGCATAATATATGCTAAGTATTAATATTTACATAATTACAAATATTAAATTTAGCAACAGGAACCAAAAATTAAATAGTATATAGATAAAGTCTGCCTAAGTCACTTGCTTATTTATTTTGAATCTGCTTTGTAACTCCCACTTTGGACACGGATATTATCCGATGAAGTTAGGGGCACTGCAATGCTCTAAACCCCTCAGTGAATCTAAATGCTTATCTAAATTAGGAGACAAATGAAAAAAAACTCTCTTACGTGTTAAAGTGTTGATGTTATCTGCACTTCCAAATTTGTTCTTAATAAGATGTGCAAATTCTCTTGGTTTTGACATAACAGTCCTGAAAACGAATAAATAAATTCAATCATAACAAACAGCCTGTCCAGCAGCAATGGGACAAACAGGCTACAAATACTACATGGCAGATGGAACATACCCTGACAAGCCTGTGATGCCATCCCTGATGTTTCCACCAACATTTCTGCAAAACACAACACAAAAGCTCTTCTATGTCCCACAATGACACAAATCACAATTATCATGAAGAAAGCAACCATTCCACCAACATAAACTGAAGCCAATAAAAGAAGTTAATGAACTCACTTAAGCCCCTGACCCATGTCCCGCAGCATTTCTCGAGGCTGACGATGACTACTTGGCAAGCCATACACTTCTAAATCTCTTAATTTCTTGTTATAACTTTCTAATTTCTTCTGTAGTTGAGAAATGGACTGTGCAGATTTTTGGTTTTTCTTCTCAAACACTGCCTTAATCCGCTGTAATTGCTGCTTATCAGCATTTGCCGAGAGTTTTAAATATTCATTTACATTATCTGCAACAAATAATATATACAGCATTCTAGACAGAGCACATTTCTCCTGTCATACATACTGCCCAAATTAGTACATTAATATAAAACAAACCATCTCTTGTGGTCTGTTCCCCACGAATGAGGTCTCTTGTGCGACCAATCTTGGACTGCATGTGTTCAATAGCAGCCCGAGTTCTTAAGATGTCTGAAGAACCAGTAAGATGTCCATCAACTTCATCAACCAACAGATTACTTGTAACCTGCTCAGAAGAACCATTGGACAAGTGTGATGACAATGGTAAGAAGATGTCCTAAAAAGAAAGATGATGAAGAATCCTTATAAGAGCATCAATTATCCTTCCCAGTCACAAAATAACTGTTTGCACCTGGATGTAGCATCTGCCAAAAAACACTGAGATGCATTATGCAGTTTCCTCCATACCCCAAGGTCTTCTCTCCTAGGCCCAAATATCCTCCTCAACACCCGATTCTCAAACACCTGCAATCTATGTTCCTCCCTCAGAATGAGAGACCATGTTTCGCACCCATTCAAAACAACAGGCAAATTATTGTTTTGTATACTTTAATTTTCAGGTTCTTAGAAATCAGACGGGAAGACAAAATATTTTGAACTGAGAAGTAGCAAGCATTTCCGGAATTTAGTCTCCTCCTAACTTCCCCATGAGTATCACTTTGATTTGTTATTGTTGTTCCCAAATATTTTAACTTTGTCACACTTTCATAGGATTTATTAGCCACCCTGACAGAATACTAACATGTACTTAGTTTTTTTCTGAATTTACTTCTAGCCCCACCTGTCTACTAGCCTCTAGTAAAATTCCTGTGTTCCTCTTTATTGTATTTATATCATCCCCAAACAAATTAACATCTGCATATGCCAATAGCTTATGTATCCCGTTCAATTGCAAACTTGATCGAAATTTAATGAGAAATAAACAATCTATAGAATGTAAATAAATTCTAATCTATTTTATTCTAGCCCCTGTGTATGGCAAAGTAAAATGCATGATGAAATTCAGTAGCAAAGAAAGGTATGAGTAGAGTAAACAAATATTATTGGTCAAAATTAAGTGTATTTCAATCACTCAATTTAAAACTAAACTATGAACCTGAAATGTACTTGTAATAAACATCATAAAGATGATCAGTAACTTCACCTCTTCCTCGGTACCAGCACTTTGAGAGGTTCCTTCCTCTTGTGAGCCCTGGTTGGATACTGGCTCTGGACGGGGCAGATGTGGTGTTCCACCATCTGAAGAACCTTTCTCTTTGTCTCCCCTCTCCCTACGTACTGGGATTGGGGACTTGTGGCGGTTTTTAACCGAGCCACTCATTGTGCTACTACTGCCACTGCCATTGCTGCCATCTCCAGATCGTCGCCTGAAGGAAAAAATCACAAGATTTAGGCAAATAATCTACCTGACTTAGTTGCCTTCACTTATCAACATGCGTGCCACATGCCACACTGTTAAATTATGACATTTTCATTTAGTTACTATGCAACCAACCCTGATTTGGGTCCTCTTACCCCTGATGGTCTCCACAATGATAGTACTGGGGGGAGGATCTGAGATATTTTCAACATTTAAAAAGACTCAAAACTGAAACAGTTCTACTTATTTCCTTTCCTGAGATGTAGTGCTGCTAATGGCACTTCTTCATATGGTGATAGTGTGCCACAAAAAGATACAGTACAAGGCACAGCTTTTCTCTGGAAATACATCAACTCAGTAAGGTAACAATAGTCATTAGCTCTGACACTGTATGTATTTCTGGGACAAGATTAATGAACCAGAGCAGCATGTCAGGCAATCACCATACCCAAACTGAATAAATCCAGCAAGTACAGTCATGGACAAGGTGACACTGTTTTAAGTAAAGAGTGACAGTAAAAATTAAGCAACCTGTAGCATTGATCAGTGCACAAGTTAAATCTGAGGTTCTCACAATGGTGAAGATATACATGTTGGTCTTCTGGGTTGTAACCACCTACAAGTCCACATGGTATTACAACACAGAAAACCAATATTGACATCTTCACCGCCATGAAAACCTCAACTATCGCAGCACTTACAGAGTTTGACACACATACATATGTCCTCAATTCTTCCCAAAACTGTATAATTTTAAAATAGAACTATTTTGACATTTTAAAATGAGTTAGTCTACTATTACACAGCATTATCTCACAGAACTTCAAGGCTCCGTGGAATACAGTTTGAGAAACACTGCTTTAAAGTTACAACTGAATAACTCCAATTCAGCAGTACATATAAGACAATAATTATAAGTTTTCCTAAATGTTCACAAATTCTACCCTAGGAGCATCCACAGTCTAATTTTTCAACCATAAGAAAGCACAGAATGTTGTGAAAGTGATTTTCCCTTTACAAATTTTATTATGTTATGGGCTGTAGTATGGCAGTGAGACTTGAAACACTGCACAGAAAAGAGCAAATACAATTAATTTGACTTACTGCACCAAAATTCACGAAAGTTATAAATCCTGAGTCTGTGACAGTGGGTTGCTAGGTTATTGATTAAGCCAGAGATAATAAAGTCCACACAAATCAGGTTTCATAAATCCAAGAATGTAATGAAGACTTTGAAACACTCACATCAACAAAATCTCACTGTCTATCCTCAAATTACATAGGACAAATTTTTTTGTATTTATTATACTGCCCCAAAATTCCCATTGAAATTTCAATAAGCAATCCACCATTACAATAAAATCCTTAGAATAATATTAATATAGTTGTATAAAGCTGAAACTCCTATCAATGACATCAGAAATTTAGGATGCCAGTCAGTCTGAACTGCCATTTCAAATAATGATATAAACATGGTAACTGTTACACTAATATTTGAATTTCTTACTTACAGCTGAAGAAATCCTTAGCAATTTGTAAAATTATTTTCACAGAACAAATTGCATTAACGGTATACAGAATTTCATATACAAAGCAGATCCAATAGATCCAAAGGTACTTGCATTATGTGAACATGAGCATACATACACTGAAGCATTCTGAGGACTGGAAGTGCTGCTCGTAACCAAAATGTGGCTGCTGGGTGAACTAGGGAGCGGACGACCAGGGGAAGCACTACGACTAGTTGATTTGCTACTTCCAGATGGGACCACATGCAAACTATCCATCCTTTGGGTGCTTCCAGGCTGCCTCCATAACAGCTACAATCCTAATACCTACCAGGAAAGAAACAGCATAATTACACATTTTTTCAAGACGCATTTCAAGATATTCTCTGAAAACACCAGTAACAACAGTACATGGAATTTCATTATCTGTTTCCACCAAATTCAACTGATAAGTTAATAAGCAATCTAATTTGTCATATGACTAGGCAGAGCTGACAGTTACATTTTCTTGTGAACTCTGGTCCCATCTTAAGAACAGCTGAGCACCACTATTAAATCTTACATATTATGTGAATAAATTAACAAATCATATTTTGTATGACTCAATAGATGGGGTTGGCCGTGAACAGAAAAACAATGAACACAAAGAAATGTGACAAAAACAGAAAATAAAATATTTATTAAAAGAATAAGAAAACAATCATACAAATGGATACCAAATGGAACATGCAGAAGAGGAACATCAAAACAAAGGACATTAAGAAAGTGAAATAAGAAATTTTAAGGAGACAGTGATAACCAACAAACAGACTTTGAACTATTAAGTTTCATTTGCAGATCACAGAAATAGTAAGACATTTAAAACTGAACTTCAGTTTGTTTGCTGTTATAAACAGAAGTCAAAAGTGTTGCTTAGGTGTTGCTACAGAATCTGCACAAGGTTATGGCGTATTTTGTCATTTTGTAACATGGCAAGGGGTCATTGTATAGCTTAACATTGTACTCTAACCTAACCACTTGACCTAACCTGTCACTGAATTGGGTTTTATACAACACACAATCAGAAATACAAGAATCTGTTTATCAACAAAAGTTCAAGCTTAAGCTCAAAGGCCACCAATTTGAACATGTAAGACATACAGAAGACTGTACTCACATTTATTTTAACTTTATAATTAGTTTAACTATATATCTTGTAAACTGTTTAAGCAACATCAAATCACTAAGTACTGCTTGCACCTATATGCATTACCAAAATTCATTAGTGCCAAATACTAGTATCTCTTTCCAGGAACCATTAAACTGTCCAAGAACTCTAATTAACACTGCAGGAAAATTATTAAAACTAAGAGAAATCCCCATTTAATGTTTCCTTCTGGGACAACAGATCTCAATAATAAAGTAGGAAAAACTGCAAAGGACTTAAAATGACATAAGATGACAACAACAGAAATTAAGTGTTATCTGGTAGTTTCACTGTAGCTGAGTAGCAGAGACCAACAAGTACAAAAAGTACATTAACTCTGTCAAACAATTAGGCCATGTCAAAGGAAGTAACTCTCTGATAACATAAGAAAAGATATAACACCATTAATGTCAAATCAGTTCAATAAAGTTCATGCCAAAAAAAAACCTCCCTGAGATGCACATTGTTGTTCCAGTTCCTTCCCAGTGTCCCAAGCAGTTTCCCCACCAAATTTAAATATGCATTTCTTGTTACTTACACATTCATGGGTAATCCAAACAATTTTATAGACTATTTTTAACTAACCTAACCATAGCTAGACTAACTTCAGGTAGAATATTCTTACAAATGCATAACACTGCTACAAGTGGATGAAGAAATCAGCAAAGGAGGAAAGGTCCCCCACATGGATATGAGTGGTCTATTTCACACACCAGCCTCTTTACATAAGGGAAAACTACACTCAACATCCACATGACAGGTTAACTGAATTGGCTCAGTGGGAACGGCATTGAGAGTCTGTAAGAACATTCTATCTAAGGTTAGGCTAGTTACAGACAGACCACAGAAATGTTTCAGTCAAGCAATTCTTCTTTTCACCATGACAAGTAAAAGTGAGGTACACAAATCACAGATTTCTTTGGAACAAAATATCCTCCCTTCCCCAATAACTCTCTCTCTTGCAAACAAGAATAAAGACAACTATTGATTTTGAAGTCAACACATCAAGGACACTCACACATTTCCATATAGATTTACCTTAAACACAAATTCTGTAACAGATAAGTAAAATTGATTAATCAAATTCATGTTATGTCATAACATTAAACCCCTTTAGTACGCTCTTAGAAACAAGTACTGTATTTGTAGGATGACATGTTGTACATCTTTGGCTTAGGCCTATAAAGGATCTGTGGAATGTAAATAAACTCTATTCTATCCTAAAATCAGTACAATACCCAGCAACCTAGGGGATGGTCAGGGCAGCATCTTAGAACACACACAGTTCCATAAGATGTTCGTGTTACTAGGTCACGTCTGTTCACTGCATAAAGAGCAATGTCACATTTCCGTACTTCTACTTTTTATAATATCACAAACATGTATTTACTAATAAAACAAAACAACCAAACAAAATTCCCAGTCAAACAATCTCACTCTGAATTATATATGAAACGAAACTAAATATATTACATAAGGAAAATATTTTCAGAGTTCCACTTGCTGGCAAAATTTCAAATACTATAACAAGTACATGTAATCGTACGAAAATATAAAATAAACACGAAACAGATGATCTGTCAAAAATAAGTATACCTATATTTATAATGGCACTATTGGCTGGAAGCCTACAAAAATCATTACAAAAAAGAAAATTCCAATACGTAACTTACATAAAAATGTACATGTTTACTAGGTATGTAGAACAATGGACTGTTATGTCTGGTGGGTTGAGAAGCAGTCCGATGCAGTCAAATTTGTAACTGATATTATTTATATATGCATATATTCATTTTAATTAATATAGGTAAAACATGGATAAAAGTAAGATTTTCAATGGTAATTATCTTTCGTAACACTTCCTAAATGCACTTTTGACAACCACCAACACAAAAATTCAACACTTTAGGGCTCCTAGCCTCACTACGATATAAATATGACAAGGACAAAGCAGATAACATCATACCACAGATGATTCAACTGTGATTCATCATCTGTCCTATCGATAGAGGTTCTTAGAACTGCTTGCGTATCATTTTCTTACAACCGTATGACTTATACGAGACATCAATAACAATTCTGATAAGATAGTGCTTCGCAAATGTCTCAGATGCATTTAGGAGTCATCTAGCGGTGGAATCAGAAAATATGTACGAAGGACCATAGATTATATGAATTGAAGCTTTCGCGGCGACGTAACTTAATAAAATCTTCTCCGGCGAGCAGCCGCCTCATATGGTTAAAAGACGAAACCGACGTTTCAGGAACCATCTGTCCCCATCATCAGGGTTCTGCGTTGGTTTCGTCTTTTAACCATTTGACGAGGCTGATCGCCCGAAAAGATTTTATTGACCATAGATTATACCATGACACTGATCTTTCGGATTCAAGGCATATTATTCCGTTCCAGCCTCAAAATTTTAAGTCTATTTGCTTAGAATATTTGGAATATTTTACACAAGTTACTAGTGACAATCGATTTGGTTTCAATTCACTGCATTAGTAGTGTTAGAATGACTCAATATAGTTAAGCTAGTAACGAATGCTGAATTTTCGGTGCAATTTAGTCTCCCAATGCTACCAACATTTTTTCTATGTCAACAAGAATGATTATAATATCATTTTAAACAGTGCTGATCGCCCGGTAAATATATATATATATATATATATACATGCGTACATTAGAATCAATTACGAAAATACTGTAACATATAAACATTTCAATTTTGTCAATATATTGTCCTTTAAAATTTCAAAGCAGAGTACAATGTACATGCATACAGTCTACATGGATGTATTCTAGTGACGTAATCAAAATCGCACTCTTCAACCTGATGAAATAGCAAAATGGCTACACAGTGAGAATGCTATGTACATTTAAATGCTATTTATTTAAAATAAAGAGTTTAAATATGAAGAAGAACTTCTTTCATAATTTTGACAAGGTAATCTTATAAGTATTTCTTATACCGACAGTTGTTGAATATAGACCATAACACCATGTACAACATCTTCAATTTCTCGCACTACAGGACAGCTCCTATTTTCCTACGAACGAAGGAAAGCATCCCAGATACCCAGACAATATGAACCATGTAACTGGACAAAGTTATTTAGTCATTATCTGTTTCCCTGTTCCTATATGTATCGTTAAAAGGAATACGTCAAGAGACGTGTATCGGTTAGAGTATAGTCATATATTGATTAAATACATAGTAACCACAAATACGGAATAGTCTAATATTGTAAAATGTTAAAGTAATTTCGCACGATATATGGTGTATATTTGCTTTCAGATGCAGGGATGTGGCCCAGAATTCAAAGTACAAGGTGCAAGAAATTACGTTTCTTCAGAATCACAGTGCTTTGTTTGTGACAGTGTGATCTGTGGTAGAAGCATTCCTCTTTTAATGGGGATTGCACCCTACTCAAAAATAGCATTACCAACAAAAATTGGACAATTAATGGGAGACGGTTTTATGGTAATTGTAACAGCAGAAGATGTATTATGTCATCGTTGTTCATCGTTAATAATCCGCCTTGATAAATTGGAAGTTGATACAGACACTGTGAAGAAAGCACTGACTGGTTATATGAAAATGAAATATAATTTGTATGAGGAGGAGAATGAATCACACTTGTTGGATTACTCATACATGTGTGGAACTGAAGAAGAGGTATAAATTACAAAATAGGACTATAGTTAATTTACTTATGCAAAAGACTTTCAAAGACATTTCTATGGATCCCATCCCAGGAGTCCCGTATCTGCCCTCATAAATGTATTTGGAACACTAAGAGTTCTCTGTTAGTGTGTGCAGTATTGAGTTTTAGATGTTCTGTGGAAGAGACCAAGTATTATGAAGAAAGCAATTGCAAACAATTTCAAAGAGAGATATAAAATTGAGCCATGAGGTACAAAATTGAAGCAGCCTCCCTATTTTCAGATACAATTTACAACAAAGTGAAAATACTAATTTACAAAATTCTGTGAGGTTGTGGACTGATCTGATGGTGGACCCTTGTGATCATGCTAATGAGCCTTCAGCTTCCATAAAAGGCAAGAGTATTTCTTCGTAAGCCAAGTGACTAATAGTTTCTCAAGGAGGTCTGTGTGCAATCAGAACAACCATGCAGTCCATTCCAGTCTTTAAATTACGAAGTTAAATGTAATTGAAATCTGACAGAACATTATGGACAATATCTCTGAACTAGTGTGCAACCATGTATTGAATTCACTAACTCACTCTACAGTGCAGGAAATTCTGTGGAAAGTCAACTGTCTACTCAGTTTGTAAAAGACTAGCCCATGTTCTGTATGGAACCAAAGATTTATCACCGTGTTCACAAACGTCTGCCACCTGACTCAATCCTGAGCAAGCTGCATCCAGTTCACTCCACTCTCCTTGAGGATCATCTTAATGTCATCCTGCCACCTGCGCCTAGGTCTTTCCAGCAGTCTCCTCCCTTCAGGCCTTTCAACCAATACACTGTAAACACACCTCCCCTTCCTGGTGCATGCTGCATGTCCCACCCACCTCATCCTCCTTGATTTAATTATCCTAAAAATATCAGGTGAGGAGTACAAGCCGTGAAGCTCATCATCATGCATTTTTCTCCATGATCTGTCTTCCTCCCTCTTAGGTCCAAATATCTTCCTTAACACTCTGTTCTCAAAAACTGTCTATCTGTGTTCCTTCCTCAAAGTAAGAGACCAAGATTCACACCCACACAACACAACTGGCAAAATTATACTTTAGTATATTTTTAACTTTAGTTTTTTTCAGTATGGGATGGGGGGACAAGAGATTTTGAACCGAATGATAACAAGCGTTCACTGAATTTAATCTGCTCTTTATTTTGTCATGAATGTCATTCTGACTTGTTAGTGCTGTCACATTTTTCTTACAATCCATTAGGTATCCATATATTCTGGCTCTGTCCTGAATTTTGATGCTGAGACATGATCATATACTTTGTCCTTTCTGCATTTATCTCTAGACCAACATTCCTACTAGCCCTTACGAGTGTTTGTGTTCACTTTTATAGAATTTATATTATTGCCCAACAGATTAATATCATCAGCATTGACCAAAAGCTGGTGTGTCCCATTCATTTCCAAACTGCCCTGATTTTCTTGGACTTTCCTGATGGCATATTCTAACACAAAATTGGAAAGCAGTGGTGATAGATCATCTCCCTGTTTCAGGCCATTCTGAATAGGAAATGTATCAGACAAATGTTTACCTACACAAATTTTGCTAAATGTTTGACTTAAACACATTTTAATTAGGTGCACCAAATTCATGCAAAATATAGTAACGAGCTCCTTTTTTAACTGAGTCATAGTCTTTCTTGAAATCTGTAAGTAGTTGACAGTTGACGGACTGTCCCACAAATTCATTTCTACACAGTTATAAATGGTTCACAAAGTGAGAACTTTTTTATGTAATATTGCACAATATTATTAAATAATTGAATTTTCAGGTACCAAATGGCCCAGACAGTGAAGACCAGCTGATTTTCCAGGCTTTTAAGGGCATCCAGGCCATAGGTTCAGAAGATGAGGGCAGTGATCCTCACGCAAACATCAAACAAGAGGAAATTGATGAAAAAGATGGTTTAGATGTCACAGGGTATAAATGTGTGTCATGCCAGTATAAAACCACTAGTTCTGCAATATTTATGGAGCATTTAAAGATTCATTCCAAAGAAATGTATTTCAAATGTTCAAACTGCAATGAAGAATTCCACAATCACTGTGAAATTCAGGATCACATAAAGAACGTGCATCACTCACAGTCACAGAGAAACAGAACAGATGATGTCACAGGCAGAATTCCTCACACATTTTATGAATGCAATATTTGTAAATTTCAGAGTCCTGACAGAACACTTTTTGACATTCATGTTTCTAAACACGACAGGGCACAATTTTATAAGTGTTCAGTCTGCAATAAACAACTGAAGTCAAAAACATTACTGAAGAAACACATGAACAGTCACAGAGTCTTCAAATGTGGATTGTGTAACCTAACATTTAAAGAAAAGAGCAGCTTACTGGAGCACTTCGTGCAGCACAGGATTTCTAAGGCTGTTCAAGTTAAAGAAGAGACGCAAGGCGGTGCAGATTCCAGGGACGGTCCTGAAGAACAGGTACAGGATAGCTGGCTGAATCATGAGCAGGATTATGACAGAGTAGAACAGCTGCTGGAACAGTTGCATGCTGAAGATCCCACCAGCAACCCTAAGATGAGAGATGACAAGAGTCCTCAAGATGAGGACATGCAGGGAGATGAGCAGAGACAAGCTGTAGATTCTGAAACTAATGTCAAACAGCACCATTCTGAAAGTGAAGACGCTTTCGGAGAAGTTCAGAATGAAATGAATGAAGCAACTTTTTTGCTAGAAAATTCTGTTTTGGGGCAAGATGATGATGATGAATACGATGATGATGATGATAACCTATCAGCAGATATGGATAAAAATGATGACAGTGAAACTAACGATTTCCTTAATGATCCTTCTGATTATTTAGAAGACTTTCAGCAAAGCAGTAAGGAGCAGAAAGAGAATGAAGGGACGAATAAACATAAGTCTGAAGGTGTTGTTAATGTGCCTGGCGATGGAAGCGCAGACAATTCTAAGAACTTGTCTACGATGTCATTAAAGAAAAGGGTCTACGTGTGTTCTATATGCGGTTTGAGGACTTACACTGAGAACCACATGAAGAGACATTTCAAGAGCCACGTGGCTATCGAGAAAAAGATCTATGAATGCCACATATGTAACAAGGTATTAACAACCCGCAGTAACCTGAACAGACACCTTTCAAACCATGAGAATTGTCCTGGCATCGTGATGTGCAAACTGTGCAATGAAGAACTGACCGATAGACTGCACCTGAAGCAGCATCTTGAGGACCAGCACACAGGACCCCAACACTGTTCGTTCTGTAACATGGAATTCACAAGCAAGAGAGCGTTCAAAGAACATGAATTAACCCATCCAGAGAGAGCTATCCATCAGTGTGGCATATGCCACAAAAGATTCCTGACTCAACTTCGACTTAGGGTGCACATGGAAAACATACACGACAGGCCGAAAGATGGGGATGCAGAAGAGAAAACATTCAAGTGCCACATCTGTTCCAAGATTTTAACAACATATCATAACTTGAAAAGACATGTGAGGAACCATGAGAAGAGTTCAGGAAGTGTAAAATGTACTTTGTGCTCCGAAGAATTGACAGATAAGTTGCATCTGCGGCAACACGTCGAAGAGACGCACCCTGAAACTCACCAGTGTCCATTCTGTCAAAAGGTGTTTTCAAATAAAAAAGTCTGCAAAGCTCATGAACTCTCTCACCCAGAAAGATATGTGTACAAATGTGACATGTGCGATAAGATGTTTCTGAATGAAACCAGATTAGAAAAACACAAGACCGTGTTCCACAGGGATCCTCACTGCCAATACTGTGAGAAAGAAATAAAGGATCCTACAAAACTGTTTAATCACGAACGACGGCACGAGATGTATAAGAACAAATTTCCTTGTCAGCAGTGTCCGAAGGTCTTTCGCACACCATCGGGTCTGAAGTACCACACGTCCATTCACACCGGGAAGTACGCAGTCTATTGCGAGATATGTGGCAAGGGGATGCACTCAGAGATTGTGCTGGAAGAACACAAAGCCACTCACACGAAAGAAATCCGTTACACGTGCGAACTGTGCGGGCGAAACTTCTCTTCCAACAGTACCTATCGGATGCACCGAAAATGGCACGACAACCCTCTGCCATACAAGTGCAAGATCTGCGATCGCAAGTTCAAGCATACTTCCATCCTAGCCGTGCACATGAGGCGTGCGCACACAGGAGAGCGTCCCTACAAGTGTCCCCACTGCCCATATACTTTCAGCGTGAGTAGCACCCTACACAAACACATAATCCTGCACACCAAGAAGTACCCCCACAACTGCAAGCTTTGTGGAAAGGGGTTCACCACTCGTACCAAAATTGCAAGACATATGGCAAAGGCGCACAATGACTTTGACATGCTGAATGCCAAGCCCACGCCATGCCAGTACAAGATGGTGCTGAAACCAAGTGAGCTGTCATCAGCAGACTCTGAGCTGAAGCAGGAGGAACAGCTTCCTGAGCCCAAGTTTGAGGAACGCAATTTAGAGCCTGGGCAGACAATCTTCTTGTTTCAGTAAAGATATTCCAGGTTCAGGAAGTTGAAACATTTTACCTGTGTTGTAAATAATTCTGTGTTTAGACTCTGATTTTTATAGTTACTGTAGAAAAAAAATATCTCAAGAAAGTTCTCCTTTAGACAGGCCTCAATAAATGTTATACATATCACCTTCAAACATTTCACTCTAACTGTCCACCCCATCAGTAATTTGAGTGCAGCCTAATTGGTTAGATTTGCATGTTTTTCGAGGATCCGGTTTTGAGCAGCTCGGCAGCGTGAGGTTCGTTCACCCAGGGAACATGCGTGGGAAATTAAAGAAGTTGGAAATAAATATTTTGGTCTGTGCAAAAGTGCACGTTGTTTTCATATAAATTTCACACTATTGACAATACAAAGTGTTAATTTATCCCCAATTCTGAAAGTCTGTGATGATGGTGCATTGTTGAAGCAAACTGTTTTCTAGACATTATCCATCGTCCAAGATTAAATAAAGTCGATAAAACCACGGCATTTCGGAGACGCGAGTCTATTTCTGTCTTCAGGTAAGAGCTACTCTGTTGGGCCCAATCGATAGAGCTAATCCCTATCTCCCTATCTGTTAGTTTATTGTAATGTGTGGTCTTGGCCTGCATATCCTCGCTAGCTGACGCAACGGCCGCGTCATCACCACTGAAATCTTGGCCAAGCTTTGGGTACTTAGTCGTCTTTTACTAGTTACAGAGTGCAGGTAGTCTTAGTGTGCTTGTGAAATGAGAGGTTTCATTTGCGATAGTTTTGCAAAGTATGCGTCCAAGAAAAAATGACACCAAAAATATCCCGCATCAACAGTGTTATGTAAACGGACTGTAAACATTTTGAATGACAGGGTCATTTCTGGACAAACTTAAGTACAAGAATGTTATGGGAAGATAATGGATTTAACGCTCAATTGGAAGCAAGCCCAAAAAATTAAAAGATTTAAGGTTCTCACAGCAGTGAAGATGATGATGGCCCACGCAAAAAATTTCTCACTGACTGCACTAGAAGAAGTAGTCAGCGCATGGTTGATAATATTCAAATTTGACATCCTAGATGTCCACATTTTAACATAAAAAATTTTAATTGCAGAGGACTCTATAAGACGGACAATCCGCACTCTTTTCAAGAACTTGCAGACAATATAATGAATTCTTTTCGGGCTACCAGCCGTTTTTGTCCTCGTCCTTGGGCACTGAGGACGAGGACAAAAATGGTTCTCGAAACAATGGTGTTTTCTTCATTTAGCCACTTTACACAGCTGGTAGCCCGAGAAAAATTTATTATAGTCACCGTGAAAGCTTCAGATCATAAACTCACAGACAATATTCAAAGAGAAATTTCTAATATCGAAAGACAAACTCTGTCGTGTGTCAAGAAAGTGCAAGGCTGGCTTAAAAGCAGGAGATCTGTACTTTGAGACTCTTCTACAAAGTAAGATAAGTTGGATTGCAGGGGGGGAAATGGACTTTAAATTCCCACCAGACGCAAGGATCCTCAGAATATTCCCTAATGCACTCAAGCATTAGGGAATATGAATGAATTTTTCATGTGCAACCACGACCTAGATAAATACTGAGATCTGCCTCAAGTATGTTACTGCTTGCATTCTTAATTGCAATGTTAGAAGGAAAAAACAATTCTGAAGCTCAAAGTCGAGGCATTTTCATTCATGGCAATAATATATGCCTGTCAGTGTCGACACAACACAGCTCAAGATAACTTATTAAGGTCAAAGGGCATTTTCACCAGTTAGATCTTGCTCAGAATTCAACTTCCACAACCATAGTGACACATACCGCTCATTCCTTTTCTTACATGTGATTAACTTTAGTTCTGTGCTTTATTTTTATGTAATGATCTGTGTCTGGAATTATGCAACTTTCCGTCAGAATTATAAATGTATTATCACAATCACACGACTTGTCTCAGAATTTGTGGACTTTTCTCTGTCTTCAGCCCATATTTTGTTTAGTCTCTGAAAATGATTAAGGGTATCTGCCTTCATAAATATGAAACACCCTGTCCACTCTTATGCACAAGTGCAATACAAGGTACGTCATGTCTGTTTCATCCATCCGCTTGATTAATCTGAAAGATCTGAATGGATTTTGATTAAATTCGTTATTGCATGTTCTGCAATAAAATTTGGCATTTACATTTAATTTTGAGATATTAGTTTTCCATGGCGGCAATTCAAATTAAAATTAATCAAAATTTAACTAAAACATAACAGAAAATAGAGAGCTGATTAGAACCTAGATCTGTATATGAAACATGCACTTTTAACAACTTAATTAATTTAATTATAATATTGAAAAGTAATTTATGACTGCAGTATGATTTGTTTTATGGCAATACACTTGTATCTGCAAAATGGAGTACTCATTTCTGTTATGTACCCCTGAGATAACTTCTTTCTGAAACACTCAGGGGACATCATCTAATTATCATACAATAGATATATTTTGAGAAAAGTTTAAAAATCTTGAGCTTGGAAATTTTTAAACTTGCCTGAGAGCACAAAACGGGCTGGTAGAAACTTGTATTGCATAAACTGGGCGCATAATGTGGAAGTCTCTGCATGTTTCATCTCTGATACTACTCAATGAATTTTAACGAAACTTGGACATGCATCCAGACTTGTCGGATGAATTACATTTTTCGATATGGTGAACGTTTAACGTAAGTTGTTTTTGTGCGGTATGATATACAGTTGATTAGCTTTGCGGTGGCGTTAAAATTGATGTCGAGGCCAGTGAGATACGGGAATTAACAAAGAACGCATCTGGATGATATGTGTAGGCCTATACACCATCGGAGTAGTGGACGTACCTTACCTCTGCCACAGTGAGGACCAGATGCAGACGAAACAAAAGCAACTCGTCCCCTGGCTGGGCAGTGCACAGCTGCTGTGGCATCTGGCAGATGGCTCTCACAGTAATTACCGCTGCACGCACCAAATTAAAACTGCGTCTTGTGTTCCTGAGCAAACATTCGTAATGTGACGCTCTGTTTGTCACGACCTTCTACAACATTTCAGTCCTCCATCATCAGGAACCTCTAAAACGTCGGTAAACTTCTACCAGACTACACGGCGCAACAATCCAGAAGATAGTCATCTTCGTATTCCCCGCCGTGAAAACCTCAAATCCTACCGATATTTCGAGCTCTTTGTCCAAACAATGCTGCATGATCAGTTTCGTGCGCACAAAATCAGTAAATTCTCATACCTGACCACATTAAACGTATTATATTTAATTTGTTTATGCCTGTTCTGTGCGTTACGTATTTCTGAAGTCCACAACCCGTCGTTAGTTTCTGTCTCTACACAAATGTTCAGCTTTTAAAAAATTATATTGGCTTTCTTTGAATCAAAGTTCCTGCTCCAAATCAATGACACGATCGCACTACAAGTGAAAATCGTGAAATTGTTTCATAAATCAGTTGGACCTCACTCGGAATCGATAACACAGTTTGAAATAGCGATAAAGATTGGAAATAAGTAACACTGGCATTTCAAACTTGATCGTCACGCCACTTCACTTAGGTCGTTGTTTCACTAATGCAGTTCCATGTCATTGTTCCTCATGTTAGAGCATGAAGAACGCCTAATAAAACCCCTACATTTTCTTACAACTGCCTGTCCGAAATTTAAGAGGCCTAGTTGGTGTTTAAACTCGGGCTAATGTGCTCGTCTAGCCCCTGAAGTCCACATCACCCGCCATACATTTCGGTTGGGTTGTGACGATCCAGCAGGTACAAGTTTCGAATCGAACCGGCACCGCACCTCGTGGTAGAATTCTTACCACGGGGTTGAATCTTGCCAAGGAGATCGACGTATTTTTTCCTTACTTGCTCCTGGCAAATGCCAGGATCTTCTTCTTATAGCGTTATAACCCTGTGTGGGTCTTAGCTTGTTTGATGAATTTTTTCCATTCTGTCCTATCATCCACAATTCTTCTCCATCCCCTTACTCCCATCGTCCTCACATCCTCCTCCACGTCGTCTATCCATCGTTTCCGTGGTCTCCCTCTCATCCTTCTTCCCATCGGTCTCCATTCCATCACTCTTCTAGTTACCCTGTTTCCTTCCATTCTTGCAACATGGCCAAGCCAGGCTAACCTTTTGCTTTTGATTAGCCTCACGATATCTGCTCCCTGTATGATACAATCTAGTTCATGATTCATCCTAATTCTCCAGGAGCCATCACTATTCCGTATTGGACCATAGATTTTCCGCAATATTTTGCGTTCAAATATTCTAAGTTGTTGCTCATCAAAGCTAGTTAATGTCCAGGCTTCACATCCATATGTGACTACTGGTCTTATCAGAACTTTATAGATTCTCAGTTTAAGTCCCCTCCCCAGTATTTTAGACTTCATTAAATTCTGATAGGCATAATAACATCTATTACCTTTCACAATACGTGCTTTAATTTCATTAGTTACTGAATTTATAGTATTAATCTGTAATTAAAATTCTGCACATGTTCAAAATTATAATGCCCTATTCTCAATTTATTTGTGACATTTCTTGCTGCTCTTGTAACTTTCATATATTTTGTTTTCGATTCATTTATTTTTAGCCCCCTTAATTCTGTTTCTTCTATCAATTTTAATACTGTTTCTTCCAGTGCAGCTTTATTCCTGCTAATAATAGCTAGATCATCTGCATATGCACTCACGTGTATTGATTTGATGCCTATATGTCCTGAGATCTCAAGTTTCCGAATAGATGCTTCCAGCGTCAGGTTAAAGAGCATTGTCGAGAGAGCATCTCCTTGTCTAACTCCCATATTGACATTAAATGGTTTAGTTAGCTCACCATCTACTCTTACTACAGCCTTGGAGTCTTTCAACGTCGCTCTGATGAGCCTGACGTATTTAGATGCAAATGCCGGGATAGTACATTAAAATACGTCGCGGCCAAGTTCCTTCTACATCATGCACAATAATTCTAAATTTCACCCTGCACTGTTAAAAGAATAACAAAATCAATCTGGACGTACAGTTGGTACAGGGAGTTTTTATATTTGTATCAACAGGTGGACGCTGGACGGAGCTCCAAATGCGGACACACCCGCAGTAGCTCAACGGTTCATCAGTGTCAAGCTAAAACGTAAACCCAGAAGATACAGACCGGAAACAACTAATGGAGTTTCACCTGCAAATAACGCCGTTCTGACTTGTGTTAAAGAAACTACGCACTATTCGCCTGACCTCGCCCCCCCCCCACCCAACCAGCTGCATGCAGGTGCCAAGACTTGCCCCTTTTTCTTTCTTTCAACTTCCGCAATTCTTTTTGTCTTTATGATCCCCCACGCAGCTGCGCCTCAAGAAGGAAGGGTACATCACTTATTCTTCTGCATTTCCTTTTCTACGTCTCCATGCAATTTCCGGCCACGGAACGTAACATCACAATACCGCCTATTGTAAACGAGAGACGGGAATGGCTGAACATGGTAATGACAATGACAATCTTTATTTAGAT